ACTATTATTATTATATGTACATGTGTTGGGCCCCCAGAAAGACAGTTAAAATGAAGGAAAATAACTTGATCAAGCTAGTTTGTCAAATTTCTGCCCAGTAAATCTTGTTAGGATCATGCCAATAACAATGTGATTGTGTCCAATTTAGTATAGGCAGGACTTATTACTTGTTGTCTAATGCTTATGATGATCTGGCTTTAGGTACACTTGGAATTACCTGACATTCCAACAGCAACATCTGGTGTTCATGCACCTAGCATTGCTTCCAAGGACATTTCATGTCAGCATCATGGACCAGTGGACACATAGACAATGCAGCTATAGTCTAGTTGTAGATCAGTCACTGCATGTCCCCAAACAAAATGCTCACTGTTTATTGCTCAGTTGCTGCAGGGTTTCGGTTCCTGTTGTATCTAGTGATTCACTTTGACTTTGCTTTCAGTTCTTTTTCTATTATATTCTGGCTTTGTGAATATCGGTAACATTACTAAATCTTGGAATTTCACTTCCTGCCCTGCCCACCTGTAACAGACGTTGAAATGTACTGCATTTCTTAAAGGGACACTATAGGCACCAAAACAACTTTAGCTTAATGAAGCCGTTTTGCTGTATAGATCATGCGCCTGCAGTCGAACTGCTCAATTATCTGCCATTAAGGAGTTAAATCACTTTGCATTTGCAGCCCTAGCCCCACCTCCCTGCATCTGACTTACACAGCCTCGTTTACGCCAGCCCCGTGTGCTTCGCCCGGCGCTGGATTCCAGGCAAGTAAATATCTTTATTTTGTAGGCTCTACTCTAAACGGAGTGGGGGGGGTTTATTCATATGCCAAATAGGGCATATTACACAGAAAAGGTCCCGCTCCAAATGATTGGAGTAACCCTCTAGACTTAATTGGGCATTGCATACTATGGAGCCAAAAACAAAACTTATACTTGTTTGCTTTGCCAATCATTTTACAATGTTGACAGCCATGTTGGTATAATAGTAATTTTTCTGTGCCTTGGTTACTCTTGCCTGAAAATATATCTGTATTCTAAGACTAGAGGTCTCTTTGAACTAAAAAATAATACCATAGTTAACATAGGAGAAGCACAGTTTATATCAATGTTATTCCCACTTGAACAAAGTAAGGTATCGTTCTTTAATCATTTAATCATGTTATCTTTTAAATTTTAGTGGCACTTGAAAAATGTTTGCACATGATAATGTAGAATTTCTTACAAAGAAAAAGTTAATGCATTGACCCCTGCTGGTTCTTTGCTGTTTTGCAGCAGTATGTGCCTCCTTGTCAAAGTGTTGGCTGCCTACACAGTACAGGACAGACATAAACACATGTTAAGATTTATATTATCCACAAAAAATAAATAATAAATACATACATATTTATTGGGGGTGCATTAAGTATACTGGCCTTGGGGGCAGCAAGGAAGGTAAACTCGGCCCTGTTCACCATATAACTTTATTGGTTACACTACCTGTCTACAGGTTTATTTTCCTAATTTAAGTAGACTTCTCCACACCATGGGATTGAGAGTGGGGCACTGCAGATCTGCCCTGCCTACTGTGCAAAACTGACCTGACAGGATCGTAAACCAAAACATGATATATGTACATGTAAAAAAAACTAGAGATAAAACAGACGTAGCTGTAAATGAGATTACTGATAGATATATCCTATACAGACCATTCTGATAAAGAGTGTGAGGAGCTGTGACTGTCATTTCATTAGTATGCTCAGCCACACTTAACGTTGGGAATGAAGGACATTATAGTACACAGCTGCTCAGGGCCACCACCAGAAATTTTGGGGCCCCTAACTGAACTCAGGGTCTGGGCCCCTGGGGGCCTGCCTCCAAGACCGCCCACAGGGACCGCCTCCAAATCCCGCCCACAGGAATACACACACATTCACTGATACAAAAGGACACAGATACACGCGCACACACACACACATACATACTAACAGACACACATACTGAGACATACACACATATACAGACACACAAGCGTACATAGTGACAGACAGACACATTACTAACATACATACAGACACATTCATAATGACATACAGACAGACAGACAGACATTCATACAGGCACTGACATCTATACACATATACATACACAGACATACATTCATAATGACATACAGACATACATGCGTACAGACACTGACATCCATACATACACACAGAAAGGCATACAGACATACATACATGCATACATACACACATACATACAGACATGCATACATACAGACATACATACAGAGACATACATACATACAGACATGCATGCATGCATACATACAGACATGCATACAGACATGCATGCATACATACAGACATACATACATAGACATACAGACAGACATAAATACATACAGACATACATACAGACATGCATACAGACTTGCATAGCGTAAGGGGAATTTGGGTGCAGTCCATTTAGATTGATGATCTCAGCCATGCAAGCGGGGACAACCTTGGCAGGACCAGCTCGCTGATGTTGAAAAGGTAATTTAAATACTTTTTAATTCCATTCTGAGGGGGTCCATTACTATAGTGTTGGGAATATTAATATTAAAAGCTATAGTTGGGAATAAGCATTTTAATTACTTTATAAATGTGTTTTATAATCTGTTTTTATAATTGGGATATATGCTTCTCAATGGGGTTAGCTGTTTCTCAAATATAATTAGCTAACACAATGGTGTCAACTGCAGAATTTTGTAATGACAGCTTGTATTAGGATAGGCCATTATCTGCCTAAAAATTCAGTCCAAACTAATAAATAATCAAATTATTATTATTGAATTGAACTGCAATTCTGGCACATAGTTGCAGGTTCTGATCAGGGCAGTGCAAGGATTTTGCCGCTCCCTCATGTCACTTACTGACAGATGCACGCTGACACACATACATAAACTCACTGACAGACATATACTCACTCACTGACAGACACACACACACAGATACTGACAGACACTAACTGACATACACTCACTCACTGACAGACACACACACTGGCAGGCACACAGACAGACACTCATAGACAGACACACTCACAGACACTTACTCACTGACAGTCAAACACTCACCTCCCTGGGGTCCAGTGTGAGGCAGCTCCTCACTCCTCCCACCCGCTGTTAAGTATGCCGGGCCCAGAATGACATCATATTCCGGCTCTCGGCATCACAGAGGGCACGCGAGGGAGGAGTGAGAGGCTGCAAGAACAGCCTCCCTCGTCGCCTGCATTCTCCTGGTCACCGGCATTTGATGGCAGAGCAGGCACCTGTCATCAAGGTAAGAAGGTGCCTGCTCTGCCCTAATGAAGGACAAATTAGGGGGCGCTCTGAGGTGGCCAGATGGCCACCCCCTGTGACAGGGCGCCCCCACTGAAGAGCCACTCGCCTAGCGTTGCGGCCCAAGACAGGGGGAGCCCACCAGTAAATATCCCGGTGGGCGCCCCCAGCAGGCCGGCGCCCTAGGCGAATGCCTAGTTTGCCTAACGTTGGCGCCGACCCTAATTCTGATGAATCTCAGGCAGGCGGAAATTTGGACTACACTCATGTTAATTCATAGCCAGTATTGCAAAATCTAGACATTAATGTCTTGACTGTTAAAGCATGCCTGACACACCCCAAACCCCCCACTCAAACCTTCTCCCCACCTTTTAAATAAAACCATGACCACTGATAAAAGGGGAAACGGCCTGGCCACAGCTTTATTAACCATTTCAATAACCAACATTAACTTGCTCGGCCGGCTAAAGGGCACCAGCTCCCAGACAGGAACTATACACCAGAGTTCGGTTCCTGTTGCTCACCATGCAGGACCCCCCTCTTCCAACGCTTAGTCTTGAGCAACCTGTTAATCCAGGCGCTGGCCTGGGTACATTCCTCTACTGTGACAATAACTGTAAAAAAAAAAACAGAACAAAAAAAACAAACACCACGACAAAAGAAAAGCGGAGGATGAAAAGAAAGAAAGAAAAGTTCCGACAAAATGAAAGAAAAAGGGGGAAAAAAAGACAACCTGAGCCTATAAAGAAGAGATGGTGGGTGGGAGAAGATTCCTACACTGCTGCCCAGAGAGGAGAAGGGGTAGAAAGTGGCAACATTTTATACTTTCTTTAACCTTAAATTAACCAGTCCATCACTGCTTTGTGTAATTGTCCTTGGACAGGCATGCAATGCAGTCATGGCCCATGTCACCTAAGCAGTGAATTGGGCTATCTGGAATTTGTGTTCTGATTTCCAATGAACAGTAGCAGATTTAAAAAAAATGTATAACCTAGAGTAGACCAATGGCATTAAAGGTAAAAACTTGTACATAACAAAATGTAGAACAAAGTAGTGGAGATTGAAAAAAACACATTTCCCAACTGGACATTATTCTAGTGTTCCATATTTATTATCATTCACCATATTTAATATCACCGTTACTATTTAGTGAACATATTCGTAGGTTATTTCTCAGATAAACACAAGATTTGAGCATAGGGTTCTTATTATCCTGACAGGAAGTTACAATGTTTATTCATTATATAATGTCTCCGTGACTCCTGTTTATGTTTTCCACCTGAAGGTTACCAAAGATACACCTGTTTTATGAATTCTGTTAAAAAGCTTAATGTAATCCATTGTGAATATGAATAAGCTTTGCATTATTTATTGTAAAATATAAGAGAGCAGACACAATTATGAAGTGATGACAAATTAACGACAGAAAAAAAAGCGTTGAAAATATTACATTTCAGCATAATACAGAAAAGAGCTCAGAGGAACGTATAGCTTTAAATAAAAAAATCCTTTATTCTGAATAGAAGAAAAACAAGTTAAAAAAAATCCTTTAGAAAAAAATACACAATGCTTCTAAAGGCTAGGTGGATTAATGTCTAGCTCACAATGAGCATATGTTTATCCCCAGCACACACACGGACACTACAATTGCAGAAGCATATATGGGGGTTTTTTTTTGGGGGTAGTATTTTATCCTTGGACCCAGGCAGCACAATGTCTTGGGCTGTCCCTGTGTGGGTTATATTAATATATAAAGCTCGAAAGGTGCCCTCGAGGCATCCTGTGTAATCTCTGTTATATGGGAAGCGGTCTCTTTCTCAAAGCTCATTCACCACCCTGGCTGCATAGATCACCACTGACTTTCTGCTCTCTGAATTGGCTACTTTGTTACTAAGTGCAAGATCTCGATATGACAGCAATACAGGCATTTCTGACTTTATGAACTTTTTTCTGGATGTGCCGCCATTTTGTTTCACCACCATTTTGTGTCAGTGGTCAACAGATCAGGACCGAGGAGATTGCTTTGGAGCACAAACAAGAAGAGAAGAATAATTTGTGGTCAGAAGTAGACAAGAAGAGAGATGAGGATCAGAAACACAGTTCCTGAAGATAAAGGGAAGTCTAAAAAACAGATTTAGATTGTATTGTATTCTTTTTGTGTTTTCATATTCATCCATTACAGATCCTGTAATATTATTGCACTGTGTGCTATTGAGTGTAGATTTGACTTGATTTGTCTGTGTGTGTCTGACATAGCTGTCTGTATGTGTGTTTGCCATTGTGCCATGTTTTGGCAGGCAGCTATAGTAAGGAGCAGGAAGAGGACTGAAAAGCCTGAAAAGGGAGAGAAGGGAGAAAGTTTGAGAGCTGTAAAAATAAAAGGAGTTACCTGATGGCCACTGTGGCTCTTTAACAGTGCTACTAGGCCGCGGTCACTCCTCCCAGCAACCATTGGGAACCACGCAGGAGGAAGAGAGGAGGGAGTCAGAGTGGGGACTCTGACTCATCAGGCTGAGCCACCACTGGACCACAGGGAAAAAATTTTTTGTATATGTGTGTGTCTGTATGAATGTTTCTCTGTATGTGTGTATGTGCCTGTGCATTAATACATTAAATACCTTAATTCACACACTGCACATCTGCATTTACATGCCTGAATTTTTATTACACAAACTACATTTATTACTATCCGCAAAACACAAAACTGTTAACCCCTTAAGGACCAAGCTTCTGGAATAAAAGGGAATCATGACATATCACACATGTCATGTCCCCTTAAGGGGTTAAAGTGAAAAAAACAAAACAAAACAGAATCTTCATAGAATATCAAATAATAGTAAAAGATAAAGGAAAATACTATTTTAATGTTGGAGTGTTCCTTTAAATACTGCTTTGGAGTGCTGCATTTTAATTTTGTTTTTAATTTTGTTTGTAGCGCATTTATTTCTCCTGTTACCATTTTCCTACACAAATGGTTACTTAGTGAAGATTGCCTGAGAAAGATCAGGTAGCCGGCGCAATAAGAGCTGAACTCTGCTTAGCTCCAGGGCACTGATTAAATTCAACTTTACAAACCTGACCTGTCTTGTTTAAGAATGTGTATCTATGAACTATTGCAAAACAAACAGGGTGTGAAAACAATGCAAATTAGGCCAATACGCTGTATTATTGAGTTTATGTATAAAGACGAAAATGTGCTCAACTAGATCGCAAGCTCGTGAAACCATTATATCTCCATACATTTTAGAAAAAGTACCTAAAAACATTAGTAAAGTGTTTCAACCTTAAGACAAATTACTCTAATTGTATCAACATTAAAATAAGAAGGATCAATATTATAAAACCAGTACTTATGTACCAGTAAAGATCCAGTTAGGGCAGCAACCATACCTGCAAAACACATACGACACTTGGCAACTAACCCCCCCTCCCCCCCCCCACACACAGACACAGTCAGCCTCCTTCTTATACAGATGAAACTCAAAAAATTACAATATCGTGCAAAAGTTAATTTATTTCAGTAATGCAACATAAAAGGGGAATCTAATATATGAGATAGACGAATTACATGCAAAGCAAGATAATTCAAGCCGTGATTTGTCATAAGGGCGATGATTATGGCTTACAGCTCATGAAAACCCATCGTGGCAACTAGACCTGAACCTGCAGGTTCTGGAGCAGAAGACCTTGAGGGACCTAATACTATGACATTTTATTTACAAAGCACTACTAGAAGAGGCTTGGAAGTGAAGGAAATGAGTATTGTGACCCATCATGCTCATACTATGCAGAATTTGAATGGACTAATCAGAAAGGCTGAGAAAAAATATCCCACAGGTAAACTCTGCAAGGTTTATAATCCATATATTACAGCTAGGTTCACCATTAGTTCAATTCCAAATCACACTGCAAAAATTCACCCCCGCCCCCAAAATCAACTATTATATTTCCAGCTGGGCGCTAAATTGTCACTAAAGTGAGAATTTAAAGTGAATTTCAAATTTACGTACATTTCTCTACATGAATTTCAGAAACCGGATATTGATGAGGACAGCAAGGAACGGTGCTGGAAAGTCAAGCTTGGAGTTAAAGCGTTCGTGTAACCTTCTACAGCAGTGGTTTCCAAACCGGTCCTCAAGGCACACCTACCAGGATTTAAGGATTTTGAGAAACAAAACAAAATACACTAGTACATAACGGAATACCCCCTAAATCCTGGACTGGTAGGTGTGCCTTGAGGACTGGTTTGGAAACCACTGCCCTACATGTAAGGAAGGGAGTGACCCTTTAAAAGGTAGACTGTCCGAGTTACTGTGAACAAAATGCAGGGGCACAAACAGATTGGATTTCTGATCACATTGACAGCATGATCATTTAGTAGGGGATCATTTGTTACTTTAAAAAGGCACAGAGACAATTTCACCACTAAATCGTACAATGTCATAGACAAGTGGTTCCCAACACAGTCCTCATGTACCCCCTAACAGTCCAGGACTTAGGGTTTACCCTGTTGTGTCTAAGGTGTTTTTAGAAAAAATAAACTTTAGACACAACAGGGTAATCCCTAAATTCTGGACTGGTAGGGGGTACTTGAGGACTGGGTTGTGAACCCCTGTCATAGAGCCTTATGCAGAGCAGGCACATATCTACAAATAAACATCAAAACACACAAATTTAATGCACTGCATTTATAGAACAAAAATGGGATATTTCTTTATGAAATACCTAACAAAAAACAGAAGGTTTAAAAAAACAAACAAAAAACATTTCCACTACAAGCAGTCATTAAAAACAGCTTTGGATATGCATCATGGTGCATTTAGAATTGCTTATAACCACAGATGAAACTTGACTAAAATAATGTACATGCAAGTACTAAAAACTAATCAACTGATATTTTCAATTTAAACTAACTGTAGTAATGGAGTATATGAACTGTGCAAGGTTAGTGTGAGGAAGAAATATACCAGCACAATTTTTACAGCTTAAACAGTGTTTTGTTTTGTTTTTTCCCAAACAGAAAACAAGCATAGACCCTGACTTGGAGGTGTTTGGAGACTTAAAGACTAGCAAGAAGGGTAGCAACAGGCATTAGACCATAAATATTCAACTTATAATCATTACAGTCCTAGGTTAGTTTGCATTGTCCATTACAACCCAAACATTGATGCAATATTTTATAGAACGTATTTTACATCTAAAGCTAGATCTTAATTTAGATGTAGCTAACAAAGAAATTTAACAATGACTTCCATTCACTGGTCCAGTGATTTAATAGTACTTATATTACTGACAGCTCTCTACTTTAAAGGAAAAATTTAAACATCTAATTTTTCTTACGTTTATTATATTTAATAAAAAAAAAAAAAAAAATTATTTTGTTGGGGGGACAGATTGTACTGTGATCTAAACAATTACTGCTTAACCCAACTTGTCATTTGTGGTGACTGCCCTGGGTGAACCTAAAAAAATAAATAAAAAAATAAAAAGGGGGGGGGGGGATGTAATGACAGTTGTCCTTCCTTTAATGATTCCACAGAAAGTTATGTGAACATCAAATTATACATTTAACAACCAGCAATTTATAACGTTTATAGACAATATCAGCAGCTGTTTTAAAATGACTTGTTGATCATTAGAGTATAATTTTAAAGGAAATTAATATTATGACCAAGAAGTGATCAAGACAAATATATACATATATTATTGCAGATAAGTATATTGTTAGCTGGTAAAATGAAAATATCCCCATGGTCGTGTTTTTACGGAGTAAAAAAACCCCCAAAATTTAAAAAAAACACAACTGAACACACCAAGCTATTTTAGTTTTACTTTGTTCTATGTTAATGTTCTATTAGTTCCATGTGAAGTCCCAAAATGCATTACCACAGATGTGCAAGTATGTTCATCTTTGGTACACAAACAGCAATCCCAAGGTTTATTGCCATCAATACCAAAAAGCTAAATATACTTTCATATGTGCAGTAGAAATATGTGTTCCAATGAAAGTGCACACCAAAAAGCAATACCATGGACTAGCATTTGCCTGTTGGCAGACAAAGCCACAATAGTGCCAAGCTGTGTACTCATTGCTTACTAAACCTTTTGATAAAAACAAATATTAAAAAAAAGCATGTATAATTAATAAGCTAATAAATTTACATTCAGTGCTGCCCCACAATAAATTTAATTCAAATAATTAAACTATTAGTGTCCATAGAATTTATGTATAAGAACTTAATCTAAACATTGTCATTTGTTTTACTGCAGACATCTTTCTAAGAATCATTTGCACCAGCAATGCATCTTGCTTTGCACTTTGAATATTGGAATAATGAAACATTCAACTTCTAAGAATGAATAAAAAAACAAAAATCAAGAAAAAAAAAAAAAGGCATAACATAGAAAGCACTGCAAAAAAAAAAAAAGCTACATTTACACAGACCTTTTCTTCATATGATATATTTAATCAAAAGTAGCAAAGGATACTAACTGAATTAGCAACATTGGGTTACAGGAGGGAGGATCTGAAAGAAGAACTGTCACTTCTTTGAAATTTACACCATTGACCAAAACATTAAAAATAATCTATACCTTGTGTTAAAAAGAAAACTCGAAAAGTAAAAATGCAAACATTTCTAACATTAGTGTTTCCATCCTATATAGATGATTATTGCTCCATCCCACCGTTAAACCTGAAAATAAAAAAAAGAAAAGGAGTTCCCTTTTAGCCCCAGGCAGAGATTAGCAATAATGAAGATCTTAGTTAATCCAATGCTTCACCACAGAGAAGCTTTGGGGTCTGCAGCACTGTACCTTTCAGTATATAAAACTGCAAATGTTGGTCCTGTAAAAATTGTAGAGCATGAACAGAAAGCTCCTTTACAATCTGTCTGATTGACAGCCACTAGACATGTCCCTAGAAAGCAATGTAACAGGCAGAAAAGGCAGTTTTTACATTGCAGAGATAGCAAGGACAGTCTCTTAACACCACAACCACTACATTAAGCTGTAGTAGGCCTAGTGCTTAGCGTGTTCCTTTAACTTTGCATGAGATGCTCAGTTTTCTTTTAAAATTATATTAAAGATTTTGCAGCCCAGACAGAGCCCACAAATACATATTTGTTAAACACAGGGATAAAGAATACAGAAAATCCCAGGAAGTGACAGTTCTTCTTTAAAACCATCATTATAGGAGAATAGAAATATATGCTTTAAGTATGTAAAATGACACAAATAATACACATTGAGAAGGCAGCATATGGAAAATCAAACATAGAAGTATAAAGAAGTTACAAAAATGAACCTTGATCAACAATTAATGAGCAATCCTCTGCAATATTTCTTTATTGAATTTACCCAAACAAACCCACCAGTTTTGCCATGTCAAAACAAAAAATCTGTTAAAAAGTCTCAAGGTCGTGGGTATTATCAATATCAAATACATCTTCAGTATCAGGTTTCATCTCCGTGTGCTCATCATCTAGGGAAGCCAATGCCTCATTGGTATCACTTGCAAATGTTTCTCTTGAAGTATCATCATGCTCCTGAAAACTAAGACCTTTGATAGCTTGTTTCATCTTCTTCCCGACTATATGCCGCCTTCTCTTTTGCGCTGCCTTTTTACTTGCATATTCCTTCTGGTTCTCTTCCAAAAAGATTTCCTAAAATAAAAAAAAATAAAAAAGTAAAACAGTACACTAAAGTAAAGTATTTTATACACTGCTGGTCTTCAGGACTGAAAGTGCTAAATAGAATAAAGCAAACTGAAAGCTGGTGAAGTAGAAATCACTCTTACTCAGGTTAATGATCGTCACACTATTGACATTAGAAGGATGAAATGCAGCCCCCTCTATCTAGTTTTGCCTACTTTTAGTCACCTGTTTTAGGAAGCTGGAGGATGTCTACAGGAAGTAAAATATTCTCATAGAGAATCATTACCTTAATGTTCTTTACCTGTACTACATGGCATCACAGCGTTTCTCCCCTGCTATGGTAAGTGTGAGATTGTTCTGCGGCCTGATTGTCTCTCACACAGAGCTCTCCCGTGAATTCCCTTCCCCACCCCCACCACCGATGTCAAAAAACAAATGCGTCAGAACGGCCTCAGTCACAATAACAATGAATGTGTAAAATAACTTTAATCACTATGGCTTTGTAGCAGTATTTTACCTTCACTTGCTCTGATGTAATGCTTGGTGTGTTTTTCAGCAAGTTCAGATACACTCCACCTGGTGTGCGCCTCCTGCTACCATTCTGTAAAAACATAATAGTATTTAAATATCTCAACACTAATCTGCAAAATGTATTTAGAAAAAAATACAACAAAAAAACAAAACAAAAACAAACATTGAATTACTTACAGGGTAATGCACTAAAATGAGAATTCAGAGTGAATTTGAAATTTAAGACTAAAGTGCCTTAACTGAAAGCATAGCTGATAGAGTATTGTTCCAATTCAGCTTTTTTGGTCAACATTTTACGGTTTTGAAACTAATATTTGTGTTCAGTGAAGTCTACCGAGTATAACAGTACAGCCCTGAAAGCCCGGTTTCTCCTGAACAAAATATAAGTGTGGTACACTTAATATAAAGAGGTAATTTATGGTTGAACAGACATATAGGGCAAATTCCAGGTTTTGTTTATATCAGAACGTGTACAAATGACTGTCCTTAAAGGGTTAAACCAGATTTCTTTTAATAAAATGTTTTGGATGCAGCACATTCTGTAAATCCGATACAGACTCTGAAATTATGCTCAGGTATATCTGTGGAGTACAACAATAACCCTAATGTATGCACGTCACAAATTTTTTATGTTTCAGTGTCATAAGAAACGTGTGAATTTCAGATTATTAAGAGTGAAGTCTTCTGCGTCTTGGGCAGCGTCAGGGGAATTAGCCCCTGTTTCTAACTCAGACATCTCCGAGACAGCCGCTAAAACTGTATAAGCCTCATCAGCAGTAAACCTTTTAAGCATTTTCAGACTGAACTTAATTATAACTAAACAGACTTAAACCTTTTTCTCTTAACTAACCAGCACTAAGTTTCCCAATTATCCCACTTACTGCCACCCCAGCTACGTAAATTACAAAATCATAAAATAAAACATACACATTTTATAAAACAGAATACATTTAAGTGGTTCTGTAGTTTTAACCCTGCAAAGTACAAACTGCAATGCACTGCAGTTAAACATCCTGCTTCGACTGCATTGACAGAGTAAAACAGTCACATGATGGAAGCTCATAGGATTCTATACTTTTCTATGAAAAGCGTTGGATGGGCGCGCTGAGCTTTCCGCATGTGCGTATTCGGCATTAGAAGCGCTGGTAAAAGGTGAGTAAAACATTTATTTTAAAAGTGTGTGTGTGTGTGTATGTTGGGAGGCGAGGTGGCCTAAATGTAACTAGGGACAGGTGCATTATAGCATTAGGACAGGTTTGTGTTCTTAAGGCTAAAATGTTCCTTAACGACTGTTGTAAATAAAAGTATAGCTTTAGATTAAGCAACAAGAAAAAATATTTTTGCCAAAAAAAAAAAAAAAAAAGAGGCATGCTAACTACCTAGTGTTCATAAAAACAGATTTATATGATGAATAACAAAACAAGAAAGAAAAACAATACTACCAGATTAGAATTTAAAATATTTAAGAGCGGGACGTGACGTAAGCACGCACGCACCAGGAGGCGGGGCTTGGAGCGTTCACAGGCCGGCGAAGGAGACTATGCCACGAGGAAGTGGCGTTTAAAATGAGAAATTAAGGTGGATCGGTAATCTGTGGCTGTGAGACAGGAGCAACTGCTTGTGTAAACTGCCTGTGGAAGACAATATTGGCAATACTGTATTGTAATATTGTGTGGAGACGAAATATATGATTACAGGGGACGAACAATATAAATGCTAAAAGCAAGTATACATCAAACAACCTTTTAACAGTTCTGTATTCCTGCAAACTATGAAAAAGTGGATATGTTGTTATATTGACACGGTGACAAGATGTTCTGAGGTCCTTATAACATAAAGGTGAAAATTTCCCCTGTATGAAACTTCCCCTGCATGAAAGGCAAATGAGAAAATTTAAAGGTGTAAAACTCCCCTGCATGAAAAGAAAGGGTGGCACAAGAAAATGTATATAAGGTGCTTACTATTTTCTGCATATAAGCAACAATTATATTTTAGTAAAAGTGAAGTTTTTGGCATTTTTCAAACACGAACTGCACTTTTACTGACGATATTGTTGTAATATCGTTTACAGTTTTAAAACACTTATTTTTGTGTTCAGTGAAGTCTCCCAAGTATAACACTACCCCCCATGTACAGGTTTTATGGTGTTTTGGAAAGTTAGAGAGAGTTATAAGAGAGTTATAAGGCTTGCATTTCATTTTTTTCACATTGAAATTTGCCAGATTGGTTATGATGCCATTGAGAGCGTATGGTAGCCCAGGAATGGGAATTACCCCCATGATGTCTTCTTTTGCAAATGGTATGCCAACCCAAGGTATTGCAAATGGGGTATATGTCCAGTCATTTTTAGTCGCCACTTAGTCAGAAACACTGGCCAAATATAATTTTTTTTTGCTCATTCTCATTCCTGGGCTACCAGACAGTCTCAAAGGTAACATTACTAATCTAGCAAATTAAGGAATTTATCAAATCCAGCTTGGACAATCAAACGGAGATATTTAAAAGAGAGCTAGATAGTTGAAGAGAGTTGAAGAGGATTAAGGAAAAGGAAAAGAAAAAGGGATAATGAAGAGACAAAGAATTATTTTTTTTCTCTCCACTAAATTAAATAGTGTTCTGACTTAAACACTAAATGAAGCACGTTGTCACGATTGAGTAATTGTATAATGGACTTACGAATTATTACTAACAGAGATTTCACACAAATAATGGACTTAAAGAATGCAATATACCAGTATATACCAGTGTATAAGTCGAGTGCAGTTTTGTGACCAACAACTGTGAAATATGCTATGCCTTGTGGATAAGTCGACGGTAAAACTATGAAATTCTGTGATTTTTATAATTATACACACACACACACACTGTGTGTATATATAATGCTGAGTGTGTGTGTTTGTGTAGTATTTTAAATTTTAATATTTTATTTTTATTTTTTTTATTATTAAATTTTTTTTTGTCCCCCCCTTCCTGCTTGTTAACTGGTCAGGGAGGGGGGATATCTTGATCCCTGGTGGTCCAGTGGCATGGGCTGTGCAGGGGGAGCCGGCAGCAAGCGGTTACATACCTTTGTAGCAGCTCTGGGCAGCTCCCAGTGTAAATCTTGCGGTCTGCGTGCCGCTCTGACGGCCACGGGTCTCGTGAGACTTACACTGGGAGCTGCACGGAGGTGAAAGGAGCTGACCGGAGCTGCTACTAAGATATGTAACAGCCCCCAACAGGCCCGCCGGGCTAGTAATGAGCCCGGCGGTCCTAGTCTGTATTATGGCAATGTAAATTGCCACAATACAGACCTTGACTCGAGTATAAAAGTCAAGTGGGGCTTTTTCAGCACAAAAAATGTGCTGAAAAACTCGACATACTCTAGTATATACGGTAGTAGGAATTTATTTCTCTCACAGGTATTGGTTAGTGCAACATAATCCACAAAGCTGGAGCACAAGAAGAGATATAATACATGAATATTTTTTGCACAGTGTAAGATTTAGAAATTGATTAAGAATGGTTAAACTTTGCAGAAACTTTGAAAGAATTCTCTCTATATGAAAATAACACTTTGACAAGTGAAATATAAGTTTGATACACTTCTCAGAAAGGTGGAATACATTCACTGGGTACAATGATAATTTTGGTAGTAGTTTCGTGGTAATACATAGGTTGAAGTTTTCTTTCTTTGCTCAAGAAAAGATAGTTTGTGTCCCAACTATATGGTACATGGATAGAATGAGAATTTAATGGTATAAGAATAAGCCGGCCAAGATCAACCCTTCTTATGCTCCCGCTTGGAGGTCAGTTAGTGGACCTTAGCCCTTAACAATATGAGTTTTTATGTTAATGTTTGCATTATGAAGGGACTTATAGCCGCCTCTGATGTAAGTGAGAATGTGTGTTCTCCTTGTTCTATAGGAGAGCATATATGTAGTGTTTTTAACAACCTAAGGTATTAAACTTTAAAAAATAAATTGGAGATTTTTTTTTTACCACATAGCAATTTAAGAATACATGGAGTGAGAACTTTAAGGGTTACTGCCAAAGTACATCCCAATGTGTGTTCAGCGACATGTCCTGAGTAGGGTGATACCCCCCATGTATGTGTGTGTTGGGTTTTCTGGGAGCTTAAAGATCTTATTTGGAGGGTGCGCATTCCAGTTTTTCTAGCTTGGAGTTCTCAGCTGGTCATCATGCACCCAAGCTGGCCAATGTCATTTACCCCCATGAAGCCAAATATTTTTGAAAAGTAGACACCCTAGGATATTTCAAATGGTGGTATATTAACACTTTCCATGCACTAATCCTACCACCAATCTTTGTCAAACTTTTGGGTAGTCAGTTTTTTTTAGTGTTATTTTTCTCTCACATTGTACTTTAGGCATGGATTCTCGGTTCCTGTTATGTGTTACTGACAAAGAAGATCCCAATATGTATTCATCAACATCTCCTGAGTACAACAGTGCCCCCAATGTACAGGTTTTATGGGTTTTTGCAAACTTACAGGGGTCAAATGTAGGGCTTTCCCCTTTTCCATGTTTGCACAATAAAATTTGCCAGATTGGTTTGCAGGGCTAATGTTGCATTTGAGACCGTATGGCAGCCCAGGAATGAAAATGAACCCCATCATGGAATACCACTTGTAAACGTAGACAACCCACGGTATTCAAAATAGGGTATAGGTCCAGTCTTTTTTAGTAGCTACTTAGTCACAAACCCTGGCCAAAATTAGCATTTATATTTATTTTTTTTGCATTTTTCACACAAACTGCCATTTCACCAATGATATCAGTAGAATACATTTTACGGCTCTAAAACGGCTCATATTTGTGTCGAGTATTGTCTTAAGAGTACAACAGTACCGCTTAAGTACAAGTTTTATGGTGATTTCGAAAGCTACAGGGACAAACATAAGATTTGCCAATTTCTGTTATTGGAAATTGCTATTTGCCAGATTGGCTACGTTGCCTTTGAGACTGTATGGCAGGCTAGTAATTAAAATTAACTCCACCATGACATACTATTTGAAAAATTAGACAACCCAGGGTATTCAAAAAAGGGGTATGTCCAGTCTTTTGTTGTTGTTGTTGTTGTTGGTGTAGGAGAGAGAATATATATATATATACATACATATATATACACATATATATATATATATACACATATACATATATATATATACACACACACACCATTTTGAAGAAAGAAAAAAAAATCTAACTATTTCTAAAGGTAAATGCACAAAATATACATGACACGTGTAGTGGATGCATTGCGTGTTTGTGTAGTGGATGCATTGCGTGTTTGTGTAGTGGATGCATTGCGTGTTTGTGTAGTGGATGCATTGCGTGTTTGTGTAGTGGATGCATTGCGTGTTTGTGTAGTGGATGCATTGCGTGTTTGTGTAGTGGATGCATTGTGTGTTTGTGTAGTGTGTGTAGTGGATGCAGTGTGTTTGTGTAGTGTGTGTAGTGGATGCAGTGTGTTTGTGTAGTGTGTGTTGTGGATGCAGTGTGTTTGTGTAGTGTGTGTTGTGGATGCAGTGTGTTTGTGTAGTGTGTGTTGTGGATGCAGTGTAGTGTGTGTGATAGTGTGTGTTGTGGATGCAGTGTGTATATAATGAAAGCAGAGTGTTTGTGTAGTGTGTGGGTAGTGTGCGTAAAGTGAATGCAGTATATACTAAATGTAAAGTGTGTGTGTTTGTGTAGTGTGTGTGTATATAATGAATGTAGTGTGTTTATATAATGCAGAGTGTGTTTGTATAGTGTGCATTATATAAACACACTATGCAAACACACACTGCATTATATACACACACTACATTATATATACACACTACATTATATACAGTGTGTTTGCGTAGTGTGTGTGTTTGTATAGTGTGTGTATATAATGCAGTGTGTTTGTGTAGTGTGCATTATATAAACACACTGCATTATATAAACACACTATACAAACACTGCATTATATACACAGTGTGTTTGTGTAGTGTATGTGTAAATAATGGAGTGTGTGTGTGTGTGTGTGAGGGGGCATTTTTTTTATAAATTTTAATATTTAATTATTTTTGTTGTCCCCCCTCCCTGCTTGTTGCCTGGCCAGGGAGTCGGGATATGACAGTTCCTGGTGGTCCAGTGGTATTGGCTGAGCTGGGGGGGGCGGAGAGCAAGCGCTTACTCACCTCCCAGCAGCTACTCCAGCTCCCCAGTGTAACTCTCGCGGCCAGCATGGCAAAGCTCTGACGGCCGCGGGTCTCGCGAGAGTTACACTGGGGAGCTGCTGGGAGGTGAGTAAGCGCTTGCTCTCCGCCCCACCCCCCCCCAGGACCGCCGGGCTTGTAATGAGCCCAGCGGTCCTAGGAGGTATTATCGGCATCTGAATTGGCCGATACCGATATTGCCGAAAATACCGAATATCGTCCGATTATATCGGTAAAACCGATAATCGGTCGAAAATATATATATATATTTTTTTTTTTAAACACACACACAAAAACAGCACATTTACTGGTGATTTATAGTCGTGTTAAGTTTTACTGTTGTAAACACTCATTTGTGTTCAGCAAAGTCTCCAGAGTATAACAATACCACCCATGTAAAAGATTATGGTGTTTTGGATTGTTACGAGGTTAAATATAGTGCTGGCCAATTAAGTTCTCTGGACTGTGTCTATAATACGCATAGATAGAGAGCGAGCGAGCGAGCGAATATTATATATACACATATACATACATACACACACACACACACTATATATTGTGATCCTTGTCTGCAGGTAGCACAGTCCTCTAGGGTAAACAACAAGCACAGTCCTTTGGTTTTCATATAATCCAGGCAAATGTATTGTTAAACTCCACCACAGATACAGCAGCAAATGAAAAAAAAAAAAAACTAACACAAATCCCTATACACAAAAACCTAGTTCGGTCTGAGCACTAACTAACATCAAGTTCCCTATCTCTCAAGGGTTTAACTAGAACAGAACAAGAATTGGTTTCACCAACCTAGTGCCTTTCTCAGATCTCTGCACTTCACACTCAGTTAGCATGTGGCTTCCATTCCTACTAGAAAGAAAACTAAATTCTCTCTCCTTTCCGCACTCCAATGCTCTCAGCTAGCCTGCTGCTTTCCTTTCTGCACTCCCAGTGCTCCAACCCAGCCTTGACTGATTTCCTTCTGCACACCCAGTGCTCCAAGCTAGCCTTGACTGGCTTGCCTTCTGCACACCCAGTGCTCCAAGCCAGCCTTGACTGCTTTCCTTCTGCACACCCAGTGCTCCAAGCCAGCCTTGACTGCTTTCCTTCTGCACACCCAGTGCTCCAAGCCAGCCTTGACTGCTTTCCTTCTGCACACCCAGTGCTCCAAGCCAGCCTTGACTACTTTCCTTCTTCACACCCAGTGCTCAGTCTCCTTGACTCCCTCACAGGAGAGAACAGCGTCTCTCCTACCCGCTTCCAGGGAGGAAGCCAGCAATCCCCCTTCATCTGCCTAGCAGGGAGGGGTTTATTCCCACTGCTGCATCTGATTATCTGCAGCTGAGCAGTGGGTTGGAGACAGATCAAAGCTCTGGCCTGGAACTTATTTCTCCCAGTTGTATGCAAACTGCGGAGTGGAGCATTGGCCCACCCTGCTCTCCAAATGCTCCAACCCAGGGGCCCATAACTAAACAGTGGTTTGTGCCTACAACACATACTCCCCCTGGGGTTAAATGTTATAGGCCTATCTGCCATCACATACATACACACTTTTATTTCCTATATATGTAGAATATATTATAATTAAAGCATTTTAGAATATATATATATATATATATATATTCTCTTAAAGTACACTTAATGAAATCATATGTATGCATTATATATGTATATTATAAAATGCTTTAATAATTTTATAATATGTATATTTATTTTATTTTTTTAGTTTTTAGCAGCCTGGGGGACTGCCTGACAGCTCAGACAGTTCACCTGCTGGCAGCTCCATAGACTCCTATTTCGGCCATGTGATCACCTGGACGACCGGAGCTGCTGAAGGGGGACTGCTGGGGTCTCCAGCAGTCCCCTCCCACCGTGATCGCCAGTCCGGGTAAGTCCAGGGCTCCTATTTGCCGCGGACGTACCCTTAACAACCGTTTCTGTTAAGGACGTGTATAGCTTGGAGGAAAGATTTAAATACATAAAGGGAATCAACACAGTAAAGGAGGAAAGCATATGTAAAAGAAGAAAAACTACCACAACAAGAGGACATATTCTTAAATTAGAGGGACAAAGGTTTAAAAATAATATCAGGAAGTAATACTTTACTGAGAAGGTAATGGATGCACGGAATAGCCTTCCAGCTAGAGTGGTAGAGGTGGAGTCTAAGCATGCGTGGGAAAGGCATGAGGCTATCGTAGCTATAAGAGAAGGCCATGGACTAATGAAAGTATTTAGAAAATTGGGCAGACTATATGGGCCGAATGGTTCTTACCTGCCGTCACATTCTATGTTAATGTAATATATGTATTTATAACGTCATTCTAAATGTATTTTGATTTAAATATATGTATATTAATTTGGAGTTGTATATAGGTTACATTCAACCTGATGTATACCGGAGGGGGGTGGGATTGGAACTCACACTTTGGGTTAAGCTGCCATCTCTTTGGCCCAGTTAGATGATGGCCAGTCCCTTGGGAGCAGTAGGGACCTGTTGGTTCGTAGTTGGATATACTTACACATCATCTGGAGTGTGGTAATTGGTGCCCACCAGTTTGGGCTAGGCTAATATCCTTAAAACTCAATATGATTGTTATCCAACTAGTGAGTATTGTGTACTCCACTATTACGCTATTAACGCTCAGGCCTGTTGCATGCACAAGATTGGGATTTATTGTAATTAAAGAAGTTGACACATATGGATCATTGAAGTGTACATTTACAGTTTCCGGCTTTTCCGGCCAAGTGATCGTGAGGACCCTTCGATCACATGGCACGGATCGGGCAGTGCGGGACTGCCTGAGCTCCCAGGCAGACCTCAGTATCGCGATCAGGCACGTGGCGATTGACTAAATGACGTACCAGGTACGTCTGCGGTCATTAACAACTGTTTTTTGGTGGACATACCTGGTACGTTTAAATAAAATAAAAGGGATTAAATAAAGAAAAATAAAATAATGAAAACTGATTAAATATTTATATATTAATCACATATTATGCATTTTATAACATATGTTTGTTGTAATTATTGAGTTATGCCAGGGGTCGACAAATCGAAAATTCGCCCTGGCGTCTGGGATTTGCAGCTCTTTAGCTAAAGCGGATAGATTGTGGAACAATGGAGCTTCACACTGTGCAGCACTGACACAAGACTCTGGTGGCTGTCTGAGTGACTGTCAGTAGAAGTCTTATTAGGCAGCAATGTAAACACTGCCTTTTCCATAAAAAGGCTTCAGGGACAGGCTATAGGCACTAGAACAACTACATTAAAGGGACACTCCAGGCACCCAGACCACTTCTGCCCATTGGAGTGGTCTGGGTGCCAACTCCCACTACTCTTAACCCTGCAAGTGTAATTATTGCAGTTTTTTTCATAAACTGCAATAATTACCTTGCAGGGTTAACTCCACCTCTAGTGGCTGTCTACTAGACAGCCAATAGAGGGCACTTCCTGATTCATAGCACAGAAAACCTGCGCTAGAGCGTCGCTGGACATCCTCACGCTATGTGAGGACCTCCAGCATCGCTCAATTCCCCATAGGCTTTCCTATGGGGAGCTCTAATGCGCATTAGGTCTCCCCAGCTGGTGGCCGGGGTCAGTCTCGCCCACAGGCCGACGTAATGCAGAGGAGGAGCGGCGGAAGAAGCAGCGACGTGGGACATGTCGCTGCCTCTGATAAGTCACTGAAGGGGTTTTCACCCCTTGAGCAACCGGGGATTGGGGGGTGGGAGGGAGAGGGGACCTGCAGTGCCAGGAAAACAAGTTGTTTTCCTGGCACTGGAGTTTCTCTTTAAGCTGTAGTGGTTCTAGTGACTATAGTGTCCGTTTAAGAACTGTATATTGCTTGTTGCAAATTAAACTTCGCTAGTTTTAAAAGTAAAAAAAACTTGCTCCTAACTTTTTTAGCTGTCCCCTAGATTCCAAACAAATATGTCAAGCCCTGGGTTATAATGTACTTCTCTATGGAGTTAAAGGGTTATTACAGGCATAATAACGCAGTTGTGCTTACAATGGTACAAGTAACCTAGCGTAAATTTCACAGTAATGGGGAAAACAGTTTTTCAAGGTTTTTCCCTGTTAGCTGGGTCCCCTCTTCTGCTTGCTTTGAATACATTTGGTTTCTGCAGAGTTGCAGAAGCCAGAGTCTGATAGAGTTGGCCATTCATTGAGTAAATGCATCAGCTTGGCGCTCTCAGCTGTGACACTCTGTGCAAAAACATGTATAGTATTGATATTAGCCAGCCTGGAACTCTTATACATTCCAAAAGAAAAAGATCTTCTGGATTAGTAGTAACAAAAAGCAAACTTTATTCTCATGTCAGTCATTTAAAATCCAATAATTCACAAACAGTGCCCTATCTCAGCAGGTGCCAATGGGACAATATCAGAAATGTGTACATGTTTTGTTATGTAGCATATAACTATTTCAACTCTTGTTCCGGTCTGGCTAATGACACCCCAATGACTGGCTGAAGGTAATTCGGAAGCTGCTTTCCAAAATCTAGATATTGAGAAGTTAAACAGGTTTGGAGCAACTTGCCAAAAGATAGTAATCTACACTTCCCCTTATATACATTGCATAATCTATGAAATATTATCAAGTAATTATTTAATAAAATATATATATTTTTTTTAAATTCTTTATTTTTGTAGTGCATAAGCTTAGTACAATCGCTTGTGAGGTACCCCAAAGGCAATCCTCCAGCGTACTATAAAACATTTAAACATAGAGGTACAGGGTTGATCATAAAGTTGAGTTATGTGGTATACAGTATCGATCGTCATTACTTAGGCATATTCATAACAATGTAAGCTGAAATGAAATGAAATAATGTCGCTTAACTTTCTGCTTATGGAATAACATTAAGATGCTGTGTCTAGTGTAATGGTAACTATACCAGCTGACTAGTGTAGCTGGTCCAGGTTTGTGAGTCGCTCAAGAGAATCCTGTTTTTAATAAGATGGATTAAGATGCTATGGAGCGAATGCTATCTTCCCGATGTAACTGTTTATGCGAGAGCGAGCTTGCCCGATGCGGACTACGATACAAGGCAAAACATTGCCCTATTTTATAGTATATCAGAAACAAGGTAAATAGTTGGTAGTGCATACAGTGGCCAACACTAGGCATAGTCATGTGAAGAGAGCGTGGATTCAAACTTAACATAACTTGTCATGAATTAGTTCAGGCTAGGCAAATTATGAGGTTAACGTTCACGAATATAACAGTAGAGGTAAGGTAGGCATGCAAGTCAGCTGGTGTACACTGTTTAATAAAATATTGACTAATAAAATCAAGACATATTGCTAGTTACCCATACTGAATTTAGGTTTCTCTCACCATAATGAAGAGTCCGCCACTCTGTTCCACCTCTGCAGTCTCCATGAGAAGCTCGATAGCCTTCTTTGTTCCAACTGTTTTCACTATCCGCTGTATTAGATCTTTTTTGGGCTCTTGAAGTCTGGACGAGAAAGCAAAAACAAAGAAAAATTAAACACACCACTCGAAATATTTGTGGACATGCTTCCTAGGTTTTGGACATGATCTGTTGAAACATTAATCTGTGATGTGAAGCAAAGTGAGCATATTTTATTTCTCCTCAAGTGATGAAAACAAATTCTCTCTTGAAATAAAATAATATGGACAGATTTGCTTGATCAGGTTCAATTTAAAGTCACGTCTGCATGTTTTAAAGCAGAACAGCTTACAGTTAAAACAGCTATTCAAGTATATGAATAATTCCCCTCTCCCCACACCCACACAAGTAAGTTAGATTTTTTCAGATGTTTGATGAGCACAACCTTCACCCTTATGTTTACATAAAGGAAGTAACTCACCAATACATTACACAAGTTAGGTTGTATAAATTAACCCATGCTTAACATTTAGAAGATCAGCTCACTTAAATTTGTGTATTCATTTTTCTTTTTATAAAGGTTACATCTAACATGTCTAATATCAGTTTGTGTTACTAAGCGAACAGTGCTTGAAACCAGAAAGTTATCTTGTCAGCACTGTGACAGTCGTTTTTTTTGCACCTTTGCTCATCTAAGTGACAATAACCCAAGTGATAGCACTCATGAGAACCTTCTGCCATTGAGTCGCAATATCTACTGCCGTACTACAAAGGCTGAAATATTTTCATACAATCACCATGTGAATAAGACATCACATTATAAAGCAGTAAATAGTATCACTGCGTGGCTGCAACACAACTAATTTAGTTCTTTGAATAAGTTATGGTGCAACAACCTCCAACTTTAAAGGACCACTATAGTGCCAGGAAAACACACTCGTTTTCCTGGCACTATAGTGCCCTGAGGGTGCCCCAACCCGGCTCTGGAAGGGGGAAAGGGGTAAAAACTTACCTTTTTCCAGCGCTGGGCGGGGAGCTCTCCTCCTCAAATTCCTCCTCCGTTCCTCCCCCGTCGGCTGAATGAGCACGCGCGGCAAGAGCTACGCGCGCATTCAGCCGGTCGCATAGGAAAGCATTCACAATGCTTTCCTATGGACGCTGGCGTGCTCTCACTGTGAAAATCACAGTGAGAAGCACGCAAGCGCCTCTAGCGGCTGTCAATGAGACAGCCACTAGAGGCTTTGGGGGAAGGCTTAACCCATTTATAAACATAGCAGTTTCTCTGTAACTGCTATGTTTATAAAAGAAGGGGTTAACCCTAGCTGGACCTGGCACCCAGACCACTTCATTAAGCTGAAGTGGTCTGGGTGCCTAGAGTGGTCCTTTAAGTGTTCTCAGTTTATTCAAGCGGATCTTAAACCCTGCGGATAGCAACCCCATGCTATTTTAGTGTGTCTCCATTGTTTGGAATAAGCACATCACACTCGTCAAGTCCTAGGCAATCACCCACAATAATTGGTTTGCTGTAGCAGGTCACCTTATCCTAGTGCAGTCTTGACTCCTCTAAGAAGGAGAAAACTAAAGTTATTTTGTATAATCTACTTTGCTATGGATTGAATTAAGAGCAGGTCACTGGGCTATTTTTTAACCCCTTAATGACATGTGTCCTTAACCCCTTAAGGACCAAACTTCTGGAATAAAAGGGAATCATGACATGTCACACATGTCATGTGTCCTTAAGGGGTTAAGGGGTTAAAGTGGCATTATCATTTGAGTTTTTCATACAAATCAACAGTTATGAAAGACTAAATGTCAGTTGTAATCATAAGATAAGACATTTCTAAGAGCTTTTTTTTGCTATATTCTGCTATTTCAGAGTTAAGGCTAGTGGAATCAAGACATTTATTCATGTATTGTGCAGTTGATGTACGTGACATCTGAGAGATCAAACTTGGAGAGATTGTGTGCACATAAGTGAGTGTGCACAAAATCTGTCCAAGTTTGATCTCTCAGAGATGTTACATACATCACATACTGGTATGCATGACATTTAAAAATATTGTTTATGCAATACTGAAATACATTTATTTAGTGGCTTCAGGAAAGCCACACAATAGAATGGTCTATCAGAGGGTCAGCTACCAAAAGTCCAACTCAAAACTAAGCCGATGTACCCATTATTGAGACGTAGGCCAAGAGTAATTGATGATTAATGTACCAATGTACATTATGCTGAATGACCATAATGCCTTGTGATTTTCCTCCAGCATAGATAACTATAATAAGTTACTAACCTATACGCAATTTCATTTGCTACTTTGTCTTCTGGATCAGCCTCTGTTATTTCATATCTCCCCTTGTAATCCATTTCTAACCGAGCACCAAGCCTGTCCTTTACAGGTCGCTTTCTCTTTAAATGACCATTGTCCTCTTTTGGTACAGAATCCTTATCCTCATGCATGTATTCATCCAATTCTTTATCAAGTTTTAATTGTTCCTCTTGGTTTGCCTTCTCCATCATTTTCTTTGCTAGGATATAATTATATGTTTCAGACTGTCTGCTCATGTCTATTTGGCCTTCCATGTCCATTATACCAAGCTCAGATGCTACTGCCTCTTGTGTCTGTTCTTGTAAAACACTAGCCCAGATGTTTAGTTTTGCACCTGATGACCCAGTCTGTCTCTCCTGGCCTGGAACAAAAGGAAAAGCTGGCCTGGAAATTTCTGGAGGCGGATGAGAAGATTTCTGACGTTTTCGTCTCCATGGCGCTATATCTTCGTCACCAGAATCTGAAAGGCTATCGTCACTAGAATCCAGTCCCTTAATGGAACGGTATGGGATACTGGATGGAAGATGAGTGTTACTTCTGTAATTAAGTTTCTGGAAAAGGAGGAATAACAAAAAGTTTAACATAAATCAGAAAAAATAAAATAAAATTTAAACTGAATTACAGTGTTATTATAATAAATTAAAAAACCATTACATATACATACACACAAGATGAGAGAGATTAAAATAAGGGACCTGCACTCGATATCTCAGTATATTTATGGCCACAGTGCGACAACTGTGTTTATTACTGCTGTGGAGAAAAAAGGGCAGGAATTGAAAATAAGTCCAGTGAGTGCACTTTTATTTATTTTTGCAAGTTTAAAATTATGGAACAAAATCAAAATACTGGTGTTAAAATTCTTGTAAAAGCAATGCTCTCATTTGCTTACTAAAGAACATGTATATTTTAGAACTAATACTCCAAAGAATAAAAAGAAATTTCCACTAAACTCATAGCCATAGTCATTTTAACTGTGAAAATTCTGACAGTGTTATTACTAAAGTAAGAATTCAAAGTAAATTCACGATTTAGGACAGAGTAGCTAAAGGTGATAGCATTGACAGTTTAGAGAAAGTTTCCAGTTGAGCTATTTGAACCTAAAGAAACAATATAGGGTAAGGAACACAAACATGTATTCCTGACCCTATAATGTTAAAAACACAATCTTTCCCCCTTGTTCCCTTAAATACAGTAAAATCTTGCCTTTATTTCAGTTTGCTGCTGCTGGCTCTGCACCTGATCTGCCTGCATGGCTGACTTTCTCATATGGAAGCATTGGATTGGCTGAGCTTGTCAAGGAGGCAGATCGGGGCAGTGCCAGCACAAGTGAAACCACAGCCCTGGCCAATCAGCATCTCCTCATTAATATGAATTAAAACAATGCATCCATGTCTATGAGGAAAGTTTAGTGTCTGCATTCAGAGTGTGGATACATTCAATGGTCCCAGGAAGCTCCTCTAACAGCCATCTGATGAGTGGCCAGTGAAGTTATCACTAGGCTGTAATGTAAACACTGGATTTTCTCTGAAAAGACCATGTTTACTGCAAAATGCCTGAAGTTAATGATTCTACTCACCAGAACAAATACAAAAAGCTGCAGTTCTGGTGACTATAGTGTCCCTTTAAATTTGAAATTTCCTTTGAATTTTTTACTTTAATGAATAAAACCCAGTCAGGTTACTGAATAACTTCAGTTTCTCAGATATTGTCACTAACAGATTAATAAAACGATTATTAAGATAAGAGTAAATGAACAAAGGCCCACAATACTCCCATTAGTAAAGTGCTGTGTGTAAAGCTGCTGTCACAGGGTTGTTGCTGTTCTCCTCTATGTGTCAGTGAGCTGTATATCCTGCTGCTGGTAGCTCGGTCAGCACTGCCGGCAATGGTTCTATATATAAACTGTCACTGTGCGTGAGACCTGGGACATTATCATATTTCTATACCTGCTGCTGCTGCTGGGCCTTGTCGCCGGTGGCCGCTACTTTCATGTCGGTGTCGGAATCGCTGACCTCCCCATCCTCCAATTCTTCGTCGTCCATCATCCTTTGAACGGTTTCCAGCGCCATGACAGCTTTACCGGAGACGGAAACACGTCACGCGGAAAAACAAACTGTCTGGCGCGAGGCACCGAGAGAGAGAGAGAGAGAGAGAGAGCAGAATACGACCAATCACCGACGAGGAGGGCGTTGCTTAAGGTATTCGCGAATGTAACGGCCGAGCTGTGGCCGCGTGACAGGAAGTGGTCACCATGCTAGCTTGCAGCGCAGTATGTGCTACAGTATATTACACCTAGTGCATTATATGACACCTAGTATATTACACCTAGTGCATTATATAATACCTAGTATATTACACCTACTACATTATGACACCTAGTATATTACACCTAGTGCATTATATAATACCTAATATATTACACCTAGTATATTACACCTAGTGCATTATATGACACCTAGTATATTACACCTAGTGCATTATATGACACCTAGTATATTACACCTAGTGCATTATATGACACCTAGTATATTACACCTAGTGCATTATATGACACCTAGTATATTACACCTACTACATTATGACACCTAGTATATTACACCTAGTGCATTATATAATACCTAATATATTACACCTAGTGCATTATATGACACATATTATATTACACCTAGTACATTATATGACACATATTATATTACACCTAGTATATTACACCTAGTGCATTATATTACACCTAGTATATTACACCTAGTACATTATATGACACCTAGTATATTACACCTAGTGCATTATATAATACCTAGTATATTACACCTACTACATTATATGACACCTAGTATATTACACCTAGTACATTATATGACACCTAGTATATTACACCTAGTGCATTATATAATACCTAGTATATTACACCTACTACATTATATGACACCTAGTATATTACACCTAGTGCATTATATGACACCTAGTATATTACACCTAGTGCATTATATGACACCTAGTATATTACACCTAGTGCATTATATAATACCTAGTATATTACACCTAGTGCATTATATGACACCTAGTATATTACACCTAGTGCATTATATGACACCTAGTATATTACACCTACTACATTATGACACCTAGTATATTACACCTAGTGCATTATATAATACCTAATATATTACACCTAGTGCATTATATGACACATATTATATTACACCTAGTACATTATATGACACATATTATATTACACCTAGTATATTACACCTAGTGCATTATATTACACCTAGTATATTACACCTAGTACATTATATGACACCTAGTATATTACACCTAGTGCATTATATAATACCTAGTATATTACACCTACTACATTATATGACACCTAGTATATTACACCTAGTACATTATATGACACCTAGTATATTACACCTAGTGCATTATATAATACCTAGTATATTACACCTACTACATTATATGACACCTAGTATATTACACCTAGTACATTCTATTACACCTAGTATATTACACCTAGTGCATTATATAATACCTAGTATATTACACCTAGTACATTATGACACCTAGTATATTACACCTAGTACATTCTATTACACCTAGTATATTACACCTAGTGCATTATATAATACCTAGTATATTACACCTACTACATTATATGACACCTAGTATATTACACCTAGTGCATTATATAATACCTAATATATTACACCTAGTGCATTATATGACACATATTATATTACACCTAGTACATTATATTACACCTACTATATTATATGACACCTAGTATATTACACCTAGTGCATTATATTACACCTAGTATATTACACCTAGTACATTATATGACACCTAGTATATTACACCTAGTGCATTATATAATACCTAGTATATTACACCTAGTGCATTATATAATACCTAGTATATTACACCTACTACATTATATGACACCTAGTATATTACACCTAGTGCATTATATAATACCTAATATATTACACCTAGTGCATTATATGACACATATTATATGACACCTAGTACATTATATTACACCTACTATATTATATGACACCTAGTATATTACACCTAGTGCATTATATTACACCTAGTATATTACACCTAGTACATTATATGACACCTAGTATATTACACCTAGTGCATTATATTACACCTAGTGCATTATATGGCACCTAGTATATTACACCTACTACATTATTACACCTAGTGCATTATATTACACCTAGTGCATTATATGGCACCTAGTGCATTATATAATACCTAGTATATTACACCTACTACATTATATGGCACCTAGTATATTACACCTAGTGCATTATATAATACCTAATATATTACACCTAGTGCATTATATGACACATATTATATTACACCTAGTACATTATATTACACCTACTATATTATATGACACCTAGTATATTACACCTAGTGCATTATATTACACCTTGTATATTACACCTAGTGCATTATATTACACCTAGTGCATTATATGACACATAGTGCATTATATTACACCTAGTATATTACACCTAGTGCATTATATAATACCTAGTATGTTACACCTAGTACATTATATTACACCTAGTGCATTATATAATACCTAGTATATTACACCTACTACATTATATGACACCTAGTATATTACACCTAGTGCATTATATAATACCTAATATATTACACCTAGTGCATTATATGACACATATATTACACCTAGTACATATGACACCTAGTACATTATATTACACCTACTATATTATATGACACCTAGTATATTACACCTAGTATATTATATTACACCTAGTGCATTATATTACACCTAGTATATTACACCTAGTGCATTATATTACACCTAGTGCATTATATGGCACCTAGTATATTACACCTAGTGCATTATATTACACCTAGTATATTATACCTAGTGCATTATATGGCACCTAGTATATTACACCTACTACATTATTACACCTAGTACATTCTATTGCACCTAGCATGTCACCATGAAAACGTCCTACGTGTTTTGTCCTTCAATTGGACTTCCTCAGGGACTTGGTGAGACAAGTACAATAATAATAGCAGCAGCAATAAAAATATGGACACCATAGTGATAAAGGAAGCCGACAAAGGGGGGGCTATAGTCATTATGACAAAAGAATATTATATGAATGAGGCACATAGAATTTTAGGAGATATAGATACTATTATTAAACAGACAGGAGATCCAACTAAAAAATTTAACACCATTCTTGGATCCTTATTGGATCAAGCATACAAAAATTGCATAATTTCTAAAAATAATAAGGAATATCTTTTTAATAATTTTCCAATAATACCTATTTTTTATTTTCTCCCTAAATTACATAAGAACCCAATAACCCCTCCAGGTAGGCCAATTATCAGTGGCATCAACTCTATATCTGCTCATCTATCTGAATTTGTAGACCATCATCTTCAAAGATACTCTCAGGAAGCACCCTCTTATTTAAAAGACACTGCCCCTGTTTTGAGAATTATGGAGAATGTAGTCTGGGAACCAGATAATGTTTGGGTAACCATAGATGTTACTTCATTGTATACAATAATAAAGCATAATAAGGGTTTAGTTGCAGTGGAACGGATCATGGAGAGAGATGAAAATGTCTCATTAAATTTTCGTAATTTCATTTTGAACAGCATTCATTACATCCTTTAACATAATTACTTTTTCTTTGATGATTCATTTTATCTCCAGACCACTGGTACAGCCATGGGGACCAGGTTCGCCCCCAGCTATGCAAACATATATATGCGGAGTGGGCATGGCTGGGTAGCGAACCTGGTCCTATGGAAACGTTTTATTGACGATATAATAATGATCTGGCGAGGTTCACAAGAGGAACTGTTATTGTTTATCAACTACATTCATCAAAATGACTATGGTTTGAAATTTACACATGAAATAAACACCACTACTATCAATTTTCTAGACCTAAGTCTCTTTATAGAAAACAATCAGATTCAATCAAAATGTTATTTTTTTTTAAAAAGGAGGGTAACAGCTATATACATAGGAAAAGCTGCCACAAAGATAAATGGTTGGAAACCATTCCAAAAAGTCAGTTAATACGGGTCAGAAGAAACTGTACAAAAAATTCAGACTATACAGAGCAAGCCAAGCATCTGAAAAATAAATTTGTGGCAAAGAAATATGAATCAACATTGTTAGACAAAGAAATTAAAGAAATAGAAAAAAACAGGAGAGATTTGATAGTATCTAACCCTAAAAGACCTTCTAAAAATAATTATAATTTTTCTTTCACCACTCAATACAATACACAACACTGGAAAATAAAAAAGATTCTCAATAAACTTTGGAACATTTTAAGTCAGGATCCCATTTTAGGTAAAGTGTTACCGAAAAAAAAACACCAGTTATTTTTAGGAGAACAAAAAATTTGAAAAACCTATTAGCACCCAGTTACGCATTAAAAATTCCACGTAAAGGGATGATTTCTAATATCAATGGTTTTAATCCTTGTAACTCTTGTAAAGCATGCAAAAATCTAAAATTCGTACAAAAGAGAGAATGCATGAGTTTCACTACAAAAGAAAAATTCAAAATAAAATCCAACATAAATTGTAATACAAGGAATGTGGTGTACATGCTACATTGCCCATGTGGGAAACAATATGTGGGAAGAACGTGTAGAAAGCTAAAAGAAAGAATATTAGAACATCAAAACAATATTAGAAAAAATTCAACTAAACATATAGTACCTTTACATTGTAATACTTGCAATAAATTTGATTGGTGGAGTTTCACTTTCGTGGGCATTGAGCATGTGGACCCCTATTGGAGAGGAGGGGATTTAGCCAAAAGGCTCTCACAGAGAGAAACCTTTTGGATAAATAAGTTAAAGACACTTCAACCCTTTGGTTTAAATTTGGATATTGATTTGTGGAGCTTTTTTGACGATTAAATAATTAATTTTGTTCTCTTTTTTGGAGTGCTTGGGGGAATATTGCACTTTTTCTTCATTCTCAAACCAAGGATTCTTCCACTTATTTTTATTCTTATTTTATTTTACATTTCATTCTCATATTATATATTATATATATTTTTTCATATATACTTTATATTATTATTATTTATATTTATTTTTATTATTTTTATTATTATGATTTTTATTTTATTTCAATTTTATTTTTATCTATTTTTATTTATTTTTATCTTTATCTTTATTTTTATTAATTATTTTAATTTTTTAAAATATTTTTTCATTTTTTTATTTTCATTTTTATATTTTATTTATTATTTTTATTTTTATTTTATTTATATACATATATTTTTTCATTTTTATATATTTGTTTTCATTTTTTATATTTTCCATATATTTATATAATTTAATAATTTTTATTTATCTTTATTTTCATTTTATCTTTATTCTCATTTTTATTTATAAATATATATATTTGTATTTATTTATTTCTAACGTTTTTACAATTTTTCTATATTTTCACATATATTGACACATGTTGAATATTAAAAAACAGAAAAATTAAAAAAGATAAAAGGAAAGAAAAAACTTATTGTACATAGTTTTAAAGAGATAGAAACACAAGTGCAATATAATGGGTTTCACCTTTTTGCAATCACAGAGTGACTAATGTATTATGATTATATATGATGTTAAACTATATTACTATCTATGTATTTTATGTATCTTTTTTTATATATATATTTCCTATGAATTGTGAGGGTGTAGACATTTTTATTGCTGCTGCTATTATTATTGTACTTGTCTCACCAAGTCCCTGAGAAAGTCCAATTGAAGGACGAAACGTGTAGGACGTTGTCATGGTGACATGCTATTTGTTTTATACTCAAATGTAAGTTATTAAAATATTTTTTAATATACTCTGGAAGTGAACTACATTTTGTATATATTTTTCTCTTTTGAGTCATATATATCAATTCGCTGATGGAAGTGTGAGGAGGGACAACACAGTGGATACTGAAAAAAAAGATTTTATTCAAGGCTGCTTTTACATCAGATAATTTGTGAGTGACCAATTATGATTGCACACTATTATTAGTCCCTACACAGTTAAACGCTATGTTTCTTTATTTTATTTGCAGATTATTTTAGCAGACTATCCCCTATTCTATTTGTATATACTTGCTGAAGACAAGAGGAAGTCTTTGGGGATTTACCTGGATATTTCACCTAAACTACAGGGAAGTCCTGGTCTAATTTAAATTGTATATTTTTCACTGGAGTTGTGTTCACATATATTGTTGTTTGTGTTTTTATACCTAGTATATTACACCTAGTGCATTATATGACACCTAGTACATTATATGACACCTAGTATATTACACTTAGTATATTACACCTAGTGCATTATATGACACCTAGTGCATTATACAACACCTACTATATTACACCTAGTATATTACACCTAGTGCATTATATGACACCTAGTATATTACACCTAGTACATTATATTACACCTAGTGCATTATATGACACCTAGTATACTACACCTAGTGCATTATATGACACCTAGTACACTATATTACACCTAGTGCATTATATGACACCTAGTATATTACACCTAGTACATTATATTACACCTAGTGCATTAAATTACACCTAGTGCATTATATGACAGCTAGTACATTATATGACACCTAGTATATTACACCTAGTGCATTATATGACACCTAGTGCATTATATGACACCTAGTATATTACACCTAGTATATTATATGACACCTAGTATATTACACCTAGTACATTATATTACACCTAGTGCATTATACAACACCTAGTATATTACACCTAGTATATTACACCTAGTGCATTATATGACACCTAGTATATTACACCTAGTACATTATATTACACCTAGTGCATTATATGACACCTAGTATACTACACCTAGTGCATTATATGACACCTAGTATATTACACCTAGTACACTATATTACACCTAGTGCATTATATGACACCTAGTATATTACACCTAGTACATTATATTACACCTAGTGCATTAAATGACTCCTAGTATATTACACCTAGTGCATTATATGACACCAAGTATATTACACCTAGTATATTACACCTAGTGCATTATAGGACACCTAGTATATTACACCAAGTACATTATAGGACACCTACCTAGTATATTACACCTAGTGCATTATATGACACCTAGTGTATTACACCTAGTGCATTATAGGACACCTAGTATATTACACCTAGTGCATTATAGGACACCTAGTATATTACACCTAGTGCATTATAGGACACCTAGTATATTACACCAAGTATATGACACCTAGTATATTATAGGACACCTAGTATATTACACCAAGTAAATTATAGGACACGTAGTATTTTACACCTAATATATTACACCTAGTGCATTATATGACACCTAGTATATTACACCAAGTATATTACAGGACACCTAGTATATTATATTATACCTAGTGCATTATATGACACCTAGTATATTACACCTAGTGCACTATATGACATCTAGTGCATTACAGAACACTTATTACATTAAGTGCCACTTAATATATTACCACATGTAGTGCATTATATTACACCTAGTACATTAAAGGACACCTAGCACATTATATGGCACTTAGTAGATTATATGACACCTTGTATATTATATGACACCTAGCGCATTATATGACACCTTCTACATTATATGACACAGTACATTATATGAGAACTAGTACATTATATGACACGTACAGGGCCGACATGATAAATATGATTTCCCATATCCTGAGGCCTAAAGCCATGTTGTTGTTTTACAACAAAACTAAGGTTTCCAAATCTACATATAATAATGGCAATGCCATGGAAATAGTGCAGGGTACTCATGGGCAATGGAGTCTGGTGTGCATTTGGTGTCACTGATTTTATATAAACTATGAATTTTATTACGATACAGAGGCTCCTATTATGCTGCACTCTATTTCCCTCAGCAGCTAAAAAAAATAACATTAAATCAGTATAAAAGAAACCAATAAATAACATGAGAGGTATATCTTCCTAGCAACAGGAACAGCTAATCAGCATCCTCGTCATAGCATAATAGGCAGTGTCCAGTATACTACTTCCTCTTTCTTTGCTGCTCCCTTGAGGATCTTTATCTCTTGCACAGTGCTATAGCACTGTTTTTCCCCTTCATTTATCTGTTTTGCCGCTGCTCTGATCCCAACTGCCAGAAATCTGAGTTGGAGTTAAGTTATAGTGGCGTCCGGACAGCTTCTGCGTTTTCCTATTAAAATTGCTATTTTTTTCACTATTGTGAGTACTTTTATTTCTTTATCCTGTTTAGTTATTTATTTATTTTTTACTTGAGGGTTACTCAACCCTTTCATTTTGGTATTATTTTACTTTATTCATTCCCTTAGGTTTGTTTGTATATTTAAATTCTTTATTTTTGTAGTGCATAGGCAAATAACAACAGTTGTAAGGTACCCCAAAGGCATTCCTCCAACGCAGTATTGACAGATGAACATAGAGGTACTTATGGAAACAAGCACAAATTTTATATTTAAAGGTAGTTTGGTGAGCAAGCTGTCGAGGGGCCTATCGCTATTCCTGTCACGTATTTAAGATTTACATCGCTGAGTTATCTGGGCATGTGAGGTTTAATGCTTAGCTATATCTGGCCCTTATCTAAGAATACCATCGCTGGGTGGTCCTGACATGTAAGGCTCATCTCTATATGGTTTAGCTAGGTCTTTTACATAATTGTAAATAGCATTGCTGGGCTATCTATATACACACGGTTTATGCTTTGTAAGGTTTAGTTATAACTGTCACATAACAACGTTATCTAGACACGCTAGGTTCATGCTTTGCAAGGTTTAGTTGGGTCTGTCGAGTAGCTGAAAGTCACTTTACTGGGTTCTATCAACATGTAAGATTGTATGCCTTGCAAGGGTTAACTATATGTTGTGGGGTTGTCCACTTGGGTCTATTTTGGTTAATTGAACCTGAAGCCATCAGGTGTCCGTTTCCTCATAGTTAGCTGTGTTGTGGTCTGCAATGGCCTGGAGGTGTATTGAACGTGGGGTCTGTATTTGACTCTTAAGTCCGGGTGTTCTGTTGGTTCTAAGTTTCGGGACAGTCCAGGCCAGAGGAACACCTGGGGGGTGGCGTGGTAGGCGCCTCAGCCTACACCCATCGTTGGTAAGTCCCAAGTATTGTTTCCCTTAGGTCTTTCATTGCGGTCGCAGGGCCTGGTGTTTCTCCCTCAGTGTTTCTCCCTCAGTTCCAGTAGTTCCTCCTGTGTTGTGCACCTGCATCGATGCTTGCAGTGATGCGGTGAGTGGGAGAATGTGTCTCGTGCTGTGCTAGTCGCCGGAGTTGTGGTCCGAGAGGCGGTTTGTGTGCTTCGCTCGTTTTATAATCTCAGGGCTGCTTGTGTGCTGGTGGGAGCTTTTGCCTGAGGGGTTTATTGCCACGTCCCGTGTCGAAGCCCGGCGGTGTCTGGTTTGTCGTACGGCCGACTTGGGGGCCCGCGATACCTGTGTGTAGTTGCTTCGTCTCGCTGCTGGACGTATCCACCAGGCCACTGTGAGTTCCGCTTGGCGGCGAGTCACCTCTCAGCTATGTAGAGCTTCCCTGAGGCCTGCGCATAGCCGGTTGAAAATTTCCATTGGGGACTTGTGAGTCTAGTTGCCGATGCTTTTCCGTTTAGGCGCTGGCTGGCCGGCCATTTTGGCTGATCTTTGTGGCTTTGTATCCCCGCTTTGCTTTGTAGCTGGTCTGCTTGCTAACCGTTTAGGTCTGTATGACCCTTGGGGGCCGGGCTGTCCCCACCGGTCTAGAGGTGGGGGGGGTTTGCTGTGATGAGGTCGCTTGTGGGTACTTGTGCCGAGGAGGACGGCTGCCTTCTCCCTGCTTCAGCCCCAGTAGGCCGCATTTGGATCTTTGCTGTCCCGGCTCCGGGGTGGTGTCGCTGGATTCTGTGAGGCGCTCCCTCGGGTGAGTTTGGGCTTGGTAGCTGCCGTTTTTCGCCCCAGAGTCTGTCCGTTGGGCCGGAACCACACGAGATGCGACCACACGGCTCGGCAGTTAGACTCCGCCCCTTGTTTGTATATTTATGATGCAGTCTGACAGGAACTTTCTGTGCTTTCTGGGACTACAGCAAACATGCAGATTAATGTAGAAGTCTCTCCAGCTATCTCTGGAGATGAGGCTGACTTTTCTGCTGATTTTACTGATCCTGCTGACATGTAGGCTTAAATTGACACTTCCATGGCAAAAGCAATGACAAGGCCCTGGTGTCAGTGATGGGGGTTATGTCTGATTCACTTTCACAGATATTTGCCCAGACCCTGTTACAGGCACAGATAACGGCTCAGCCGACTACTCAGGCGGCAGTACCTGTACTCACACCAGCTCTGCTTCAGCCTGGCCGTAATGCCTCATATAAGGCTAAACACTCCTCCAAAACAATAGAGATTAACAGTACCATACCTGCAGGGCCGGACTGGGGATACAAAGCAACCCTGAAAAAAAAATCTATGCCACCCCGCAGCACGTCGTGGGAAAAAAAAAAGGTAAGTAAAAACACTATTTTTAAACATACACACATACACCATGACAGACACAGACACACACATATACCATGACAGACACACACACACCTTGACAGACACACACCATGACACAGACAGACCATGACACAGACACATACACCATGACACAGACAGACACACACACACCATGACACAGACATACACACCATGACACACACACACACACACAAAAACATCATGACAGACAGACACACACAGTGACACAGACACACACCATGACACAGACACACACACATACACTCACACTGACAGACTGACACATAATATAGCTACCTGTGGGCAACCGGCCAGGGAGTCGTGCAGGGCAGTCGGGGGTCAGGTGTGCTGGCGGCCACAGGGGGAGCTGGCCCTGCTATCCAGCGTGCAGCTTAATGAGGCCGGGGCCAGAATATGATGTCATATTCCAGCCCCGGTCTCATTAAGTAGAGCGCCAGCACAGCCAGCTCCCCCTGCGGCCGCCAGAACCGCCAGGAGCCAGCTCCCCCCTGCGGCTGCCAGAACAGCCAGGAGCCAGCTCCCCCCTGCGGCCGCCAGCACAGACAGTTATCTGTCCGGCCCCAGGTGCCGACAGCCCACCGGGTAATTTCCCGGTATCCTGAGGGGCCAGTCCGGCCCTGCATACCTGTCATGGATGGCACAATTAATTTACCACCGCGCAAAAGAGCCACTAGTCGGGCAAAATCGACTAGACTTTGGAAAAGGGCAAAAGCCAAACTGAACTCTGAATCTGAGCTCAGTGATATTGAGGAGGAGTTCCCTGAGTCCTACATGGAGGAGTTCCCTGAGTCCTATATGGAGGAGTACCTATACTCACACCTGCTCTGCTTCAGCTTTACGTACCACTTAATTATCTATTAGTGGGTACTATATTTCCTATCAGTAGTGTTTATATATATATATATATATATATATATATTTATTTCTTGCCGCAATGCCTCATATAAGGCTAAACACTCCTCCAAAATAATAGAGATGGACAGTACCATACCTGTTATAGATGGCACAATTAATTTACCACTGTGCAAAAGAGCCACTTGTCGGGCAAAAATCAACTAGACTTTGGGAAAGGGCAAAAACACAACTGAACTCTGAATCTGAGCTCAGTGATATTGAGGAGGAGTTTCCTGAGTCCTATATAGAGGATTCAGAGGATCTTTCTGATCCGGATTATGAAATTACTGATGAAGAGGATGCTAATCCCGTGCGGGATACACGTCCTATTAAACCTACCAAGATTGAGGTAGATCATGCGGCCTCAGGGGACACCAATAGGATCTTGGACACTCAATGTGAATCCCTATTCGAACCTGAAGACCTATGTCACCCAGTGGTCTCCTCAGACCACGTAGCCAAGTATATTGCATCAAGAGTACGCAAGCCTTTTGAGAAGGCAAAGTGAAATAAATTCCTGAGTAAGACAGGATGGAAGCACACTAAAGGCTTAGATTTTCATTGCAAAACTGTCAGGATAAGATGATGGACATCTTGGGCCCAGCAGCCAAGATCTTTGAAGCAGTAGGGAATGATCTAGAATTAGATTGCGCAATTTTAAGTGGTTAGATCCAGAGAGTGATTTAAGTTGGCAACGCCAACAATGCGATTGTCACAGAACACCGCAAATCGATCTTGCTCAAGATTGAGCTGAAACATGTAACTATGGCTCTGAACGAGCCAGATAACACAGGCAAAAGGTTTTCTCTTTGGGGACAAATGGTAAAAGAATTGGGTTCCTTTGTCCGGCTGAAAAAACTGAAGTTCTTTTAGTCACTTATACTGGCTGAGCCGATTTCTTTGACCAATGCACTATACCAACCTTCTTCCTACGACGTGGTCAACGTTCAGTTGTTAGTGACCTTAGAGGTGCTCCTTCAGGATGAAGAGCTTATGGTAAGCATTCACAATTTCCATTCCTCTTTACTGAAAGTGGGGGGCAGGCTCATACATTTTTCCCATGTATGGTCCCTCATTTCATCAGATGCTTAAGTTCTTCACACTGTGAAAGGGTATTGCATAGACTTCCTTTCTCTACCTGTTCAATGTTCCCCATCGAGGGAAATAGTTTTTTCCCAATGAGAGGCAGACCTTGTCTCAGTGGAAATAAAAAAAACTGATGCGCAAACAAGCAATCGTAGACATTCCGGCCCATAACATGGGCTACGTGAGCAACCTTTTCTTGGTTCCCAAAAAACGGCGAAGGTATCTGTGCAGTGATAAATTTGAGACAGCTCAATGGTTATGAGGCATATCATCACTTCCAAGATGGAAGGAGGGCATTGCTCAAGGGATCTTCTCCAACCAGCAGATTGGATGGCCAAATTGGATCTGCAGGATGCATATCTCACAGTGCCTATAGCAGTCCAACATCAAAATTCCATCAAGATCGAGAACTTCCTGCAGTTTACATGGTAGGGAAGGAAATGGAGGTTCAGGTGCTTCCCATTCTGACTGTCTTCAGCTCCATGGTGCTTCACCAAGCTCATGAAACCTATGGTCGCCCTGCTATGGAGTCGGGGAGTACATTTTATAATATTTTAGACTGCATTTTCATTCTGGCTCAGTCTATTCAATTAATCCGGACATACCTTGCATGGACTTTGACCCTGTTAGAGAACCTAGGCTTCCTGATCAATTATGAGAAATCCATTATCGTTCCCACGCAACAAATCAAATCAACTTACCCAGAGAAGACAAAACTTCCAGGGATGGGAGGGAGGGAGGGATAATACTCGTCTCCGTGTCATTAATGAAATCATTACTTTACGTTATGTTAATAGTAAAATCTGTGAATTTTTTTAAGACACAGAGGCTCCTATTATGCTAGTTCAAAGCTGTGAAATTATGTCTCCTGTGAAGTGTTGAATAGGTCTAAAGTAGAAATCATGGAATGTAGACTCTGAAGACCAGCTGCTCTCATAATATCCTCTAAGCAACAACCAAAGAGGACATCTTCTGGAGTAAAGGAACGAGCAACCACCTGAAGAGCTCATACGTCAGAAAACCTCTTGCAAGAAAATAAATTCAAGACAATAGAGACGTCCCACAAGAGTATCGTGGTAAGGGTGGATGAGCAAACCAAATTCCTCAGAGAAGTCAACATATGACAGGATGTCAATCGACAGGCGTCTAATCAAAACTATGATGACCAGTAGAAATGGACGAACAGTAAGGTTGGTAAGGTTCACAGTGTCATCATACAGACAATTCAGAAAAATGGAATGGGATTTAAATGGCCACCGGCCATTTTACCGGGCGCTCGGAAGCACTTACAAGCGCTCACAAGCGCCCGGTAGAACACAGGTCCGGCGTCATACAGATCAGCCTGCTCAGCCAGGCCTCCCCCTCCCAGGCATGCATTGCGGCAGCGCACAGGCGCTTCACTTCCTCTCTCCTGCCCCTTCCGCTGGACGTGGGGAGAAGTGGGCGGGAGCATAATGTGCAGAGAAAGGGCAGCCAGGCGCAGGGAGAGAACAGTAATGAAGGTAAGGTATGTCAGAGAATGTGTGTTAGTCTCCTTCGTGTATGTATGTTTATGTCAGTGTGTCTGTCTGTATGGGTCAGTGTATCTGTCTGTATGGGTCAGTGTGTGTCTGTATGGGTCAGTGTATCTGTCTGTATGGGTTAGTGTGTGTGTCTGTATGGATCAGTGTCAGTCTGTATGGGTCAGTGTATCTGTCAGTATGGGTCAGTGTGTGTGTGTCTGTGTGTATGGGTCAGTTTGTCTGTCTGTATGGGTCAGTGTGTGTGTCTGTATTGGTCAGTGTGTGTGTCTCTAGGTGTCATTGTATGTGTCTGCATGGGTCAATGTGTCTGTATGTGTGTGTCAGCATGGGTCAGTGTGTGTATATGAGTCTGTGTACGTCAGTCTACATGGGTTAGTGCGTGTGTGTCAGTTTGCATGGTCAGTGTGTTTCTACTTGAGTCAGTGTGTGTGTGCTAGTCTGCATGATTGAGTGAAGCAAATGGGGTAGCAAATTTGTTTTTTCGCCTAGGGCGGCAAAAATGCTTGCACCGGCCCTGCGTAGCCACACCTCCCCTGGCTGTGATTGAAACAGCCTGCATGAAAACAAAATAGTTTCATTTTTAATCCCATGCAACTAACTTTAAAAGTTTTTATTTCTTGCTTTGTAAATTGAACTTTAGTTGCATACAAGAGACCCCTGCTGGGTCTAGCAAGCTATTTACAGAGCAGGAGATGAGAAATTCTAAGTTAAACAGAATTTAAAATAAAGGAAGTGCAAACATTAGATGACTCTTTACAGGAGGTGTTTAGGAAGGCTTTTCAAGTCACATGCAGGGAGGCGTGACTAGGGTTGTATAAACAAAGTGATTTAACTCCTAAATTGCAGGGAATTGAGCAGTGAGGCTGCAGGGGCATGACCTATACACCAAAACTGCTTCAGTAAGATAAAGTCGTTCTGCTGACTATAGTGTCCCTTTAAGTGTAAGCTCACCTGCCATGTCAAGGCAAAACCTCTTAGGTGAGTCCAATACTAACAATTTACCTTGCTTCCTTTAGCTAAAAGGTACAAATCTCTAATGAGACAGAAATGGGTGTTTATCTAATTTAACATGGCAGAATCATACTACCAGATAGTACCACCAGAAAACTAGCCATTAGGAAGCTCTGTGGCAAAACCTTACTGACACATACCTGAGCAGCTTTTTACTATACCCTGCTCTGTTCATCCCATAAAGTAATGTAACACACACAAAACTATGGAAGCTATCTAACAGTGCACTCCTTTTTTTTGTTCAGGGCTGATGCAGTTCAGACTAGAGCATCTGCCTAATAAAAAACAAATCTGTTATTTATTATATGTGATTGAAACAAATGTTATTTAATCCAAAAGAAGACAAAATTCAGCAGAAAAAAAAAATATCTGTTATTACATGATTACATGTAACATATAACATGTTACATGTTATTTTGCTTTGTTTATTACAAAATAAGCCTGTCTCTTCTAAGCACTGTGCAATGCACCACGATGAACAGCAGGGGGCAGTAAACATTTCCTCTAGGATTCTCTCTCTATATGTGAATGGGCTGATCCTGTCCCTTTACCAATCAGGCAGTCTGACAGCTGGAGGTGGGTCTGCCTGCTCCTCTTTCTATTAGCCAGCTGCCTGTGCTAGGCTGACTCTGCCATGCTTTTATTAACCTTCCCAGTATCACGGCATTTTGTGCTGAAAAGCAGAATCTGGTCTTCCTGTTGTAGGAGGACTGCTGCAATGTCTACCCTGTTACTGAACCAGCCCCAGTATTCATGGCTTAAGGAGCTGGGACTGAAAGAGGAGAATGAGGGAGTCTACAATGGGGCATGGGGAGGGAAAGGAGAGGTAAGTGTCTGCACAGCTCACTGCCAATTGCCACATATGTATTTTGGGGAACCGCCAGAATGGTTAAATCATCCATTGCAGGAGATATAGCCAAGTGTTCATCTTGTGCATCATTTTCTATGCAGTGGAACATTGTATAAATAGAACGTTATGCTCTCTGTGAGTTATTTCGGAAGCTCAGATTGTATTGTTGTCAGACAAAGACAATAGATTGTGCAATTAAAATGTTACCCAGGCCAGGCTCTGCATGTGAATGCATGTCAGTGGGAGTATGCACTAAGCTGCCTGAGCAAGACACACTCTGTAATAGGACACACAGACATGTGCATAAGGTGTCCTAGGGTAAACTGAAGGGGGATACAGGCAATCACTTGATTGTAGCTGGACAAACAAATATACATAATATTTTGTCTCTCTGTCTCTCTCTCAGCACTTGGAATTGTTGTTGGCAAAGTAGATTTTATGGATTTACGTCTTTTGAAGATCTATCTATCGTGTGTATGCAAATGCTTCACTTCATGATTGCTGCTTTTAAATGCTAGCATGAATGTATTCATTGATCGAATATCTACTAAACCCTTATTTAAAAAAATACATTTAGCGTTTTGAATTGTTGCTTTAAGTTGAAGATTAAATTGTAATATATTAGATGTAGTAGCTGCCAGGAACTTTAAACCCCTTGCACCTGAGTTTGTTTACCACCTGTATAATTACTGCAGCAGTTTAATGCATAATATAATCTGGAAATAAAATTCAAAGCTGAGCCATTTATTAATTGATCAAGTTACTTATGTCAGAGAGTTCCATAACGGTGGCCAAAATGTTACATCTCCATCTGCATCCCAGTGGTGATGCTATGTCCTTCTTAGAATGCCAAAACATCATGGAAGTTGTAGTTTAAAAAAAAAAAAAAAAAAAAATTAACTTTTGGGCACCCACAGTTATCGATGATTTTTTTTTTTATTATACCTTGTCACTGTGAGATGGTATGTCAGGAATTTGTTATTCCAAAGTGCTTGTAGACCTGGAAAATGCTAAATTTAGATTGCACAAAATAACTTATTTGAATAAAACATTTTATTTTGCATTAATTTAAACACGAAATTTGAAGTTTTTATAAACAAATCTTTTTGACCTTTCATATTTTAAACCGGTTTCAACAACATTAAATGGTCTGTATGCTTTTTGGAAAGGTCTACCACCTTCTCTGTGTCACTGTCCGCATTTTACAAGTGATTGCACTTTGTTCTGCTAAAGTAGCAGGACAGACTCTGGATGCTTGGTTAATATTCCTACAGACATGATCAACAAGATTTCTGTTAATGGAATGCATGTGGTAGAGGTACAGTAGTTTTGAGAGTTATTCACCTAGTGTGAATATTCAGTAATTCCGATTGAATCTGTGTGTTTTTATTTAATTCTTTTTTTAAATACATTTTCTTGGTACTGGCTCAGTTTTTTGCAGGATCAGCATTTTCACACTCTGCGTGAAGATGCCAAATGCTTCCCATAGAGATGCAATGGAATAATGCATCTCTATGAGGAGGTACTATTTGGCATGGCTCCCCTGGGAGGAAGGATTGGCTGGTATTATCAGTAATGGTGACCTCAGCCAGGGTTGGAGTGGGGTAGCAGTGAGACTGTCATGGTGTGGGATTAAAGGTGAGTATTACTTCTTTATTGTACTGTTAAAGGGAGGTTTGTGAAAGTAATTTTATATTTATAACACTAGAGTGCTCCTTACGGTATATAGTACACTTAGTGGTACAGACTTTGTATTTCCTTTTAGGGTTGTGGGTTTTATTTTTATTTTATTTATTTAAAGGGACACTATCGGCACCAAGACCATTTTATCTAATTTAAGTGGTCTGAATGCAGTTTCTGAGAAACTGAAATGTTTACATTGCAGGGTTAAGACTGCCTCTAGTAGCTTTCTCCCAGACAGCCACTAGAGGTGCTTCCTGCTGTTTCATGTAGTTAACTTCAAAATCCTCATAGGAAAGCATTGATTCATTGCTTTCCTTTAGAGAAGGCTCTCTCTCTGTGTGTGTGTGTGTGTGTGTGTGTGTGTGTGTACAGTGCATATACATTAGGCCGCCCTTGTGATAACATCGGAGGAGACGTAACCAGTGCCAAGTGGCCTCGGCACTGGAATAAGGTAATTCGGGGGCTTTTTAACCTTTTTCATAGCTGTGGCATGGGGGCAGAGGGACACCATAGTTTTAGGAATACAAAACTGTTCATTTAAATTGAGATTATATGGATTTTATAACTGTATCTATTTATCTGAACTATATAGACACAATTTGTATATAAATTGTAACTGTTGTAAACCTCTCATTTAAAGCAAGCCCAGCACATTTGAGACTTGCATTAGCAAATAAGAATGGCGAATAAAGAAGAAACTATACAACCACTCTCATATTTCCTGCAAAATCCTTCCTATTACATGGTCACTCTAAGCACCATAGCCATTATCAAATTCAACCTTCCTTTAAGGACATTCATTGGCAGACTGTGTCCGTTGCACAGCCAATAAATGGCTTTAATGGACCACTATAGGCACCCAGACCACTGCAGCTTAATGAAGTGGTCTGGGTGCCAGGTCCACCTAGGATTAACCCTTTCTGCTGTAAACATAGCAGTTTCAGAGAAACTGCTATGTTTAATTTAGGGTTAATCCAGCCTCTAGTGGCAGTCTCATTGACAGCCGCTAGAGGCGCTTCCGCGCTTCTCGCTGTGATTTTCACAGTGAGAAGACGCCAGCGTCCATAGGAAAGCATTGAGAATGCTTTCCTATGACACTGGCTGAATGCGCGGCTCTTGCCGCGCATGCGCATTCAGCCGATGACGGGGAAAGGAGGAGGAGAGTCTCCAGCACCGAGGGAGCCGGCGCTGGAGAAAGGTAAGTGTTTAACCCCTTCCTCTCCATCCAGCCCAGCGGGAGTGGGACCCTGAGGGTGGGGGCACTATAGTGGTCCTTTAAAATATGGATAAAATGAAAGAGGACAGTGCTTGCATCTAATGGCACCTCAACAAATGTGTTGGACTGCAGTGGTTATGGTGCCTAGACCCTTTAAAAGAAAAGTATAGGGTTGAATGACCGTATTTAATGCATCCTATGGCTGATGCAAACAATAGAAAGAGATAAATAAGACCTACCCTTTTTTTTTTTTGTTTCCTTAAATTTTATATTTACACATTTTATAGCAAAATAGGAGAAAAATAAGTGAATTGGAGACGGTATCTTTCCAGTTTGGCAATTTTGACTTAAATGGAGAATGTCCCGTGTCAGTTCACAGTTTAGTGAATAATCCATTCTATCCATATGAATGACGTTCAAACAGTGACCGTTTGAAACAGTGAAATTTGTGTTTTTATTTTTTTATATTATTTACGTTTTAGCTCAGATTTTCTGATAAAGTTTTCATTTCACTACAGTATGATGTTTGTTGCATAGGTCTTTTAGTGTTGCTTCCACTTAATTTATATCAGACATTAACAATGTATGTTGTTGAGTTTACAGTTTGCCAACCATGTCTCTAGACCTGCTATTAACCAACTTGTGCTTTGTGAAAAAAATAAAAAAAAATCCCACCCTTTTTTTTATCTTAGGTTGTGACATCGTATTGTCCTTCTAATAATGCACCGATTGCCAGAGTTCGACAGGTACAGCTTCTCTTTTTTTCTGTTTACCAAATCTATGTTGAAGAGTAAGCAGTGTGTGTATTCTATGTGCATGTTTGTCAGTATAAAATATATTTATTTTGTTTTGCCTGCCAAATATGTTTTCATGCTTTTTAAATAGGATTTCAAAATAAAATAAACAATTGATATCCGTTCTGAGCTGAAGCTGCGTTAAGTTATACTTTCGCTTGGAAGCAAAAGTAGACCAATCTAGGGTCTGTACATTAGGTGTACAGAACTTATTCCACCTTGAAAGTGTTAGACCATGGATGGCATAACGTAATACCCAATATGCTTCAACACTAGTTTAAAGGGAAATGCCATTCACAAACATTAGGGGTGGTAACACACGTCATCACAAATTGGTGGAGGTTCGTGGATCTGATCGTAAACTTTAAAGGTTTCTCTACAGCCCTTTCCCAGCCTTCCTGTCAGCTACGCCATTTTGTGTTTCATTAGCTTACTATTGTAAGACAGAGTGATAGATGGCTCACAATTTGTTTTACACGGAGTATAATATATATGTACGAAAGAAACAACTTGATCTGTGACTCATTTTATTAACATGTTGTTTTAGGCCACTATTGAAGAATATAATGAAACTGTAATTAAGGCAAAAGAAGCATGGAAGATCTGGGCAGATGTAAGTATAAATTGTTATGGGCTTTCGTCCCATACAAATTAAGATTTATATCCTTTTGATGGATGGGTTTTATTTGGGTTCACTTTCTGAGTCTGATTTAAATGTGTGTATTGCTCTTTAAGCAGAAGTGTCAGTTTTGTGGTGTTTTTTTTGACCCTCATTTAATATCAAAGGATAACTGCCTGACTCATTTGCTGATTCACTCTAGGTTCTTCCAAAAATACAGGACTTTAGTGGGTTGATCCTCTTTGCATTATTTTTCCCTTTACCTTGATATTACATGACTGAAAGCGGTGTTGCATTGCTTTGTTTATGTAACAGCAGTTTAATCTTTCTACACATTTTAAGCAGTGTAGTGTCTTACTCTTATACTTTCTCTCTCTCTCTTTTTTTTTTTTTTTTTTTTTTTTTTTTTTTTTTTTTTTTTTTTTTTTTTTTTTTTTTTTTTAAATAACTATAATACTACCCACTTCTTCTTCCTCCTGCTGGACATCCAGTATTACTGGACCTGGCAGGTGATGCAAAAATCAGGAGGGTTGAACAATTTTAACTCTAAACCCGATATATATTTTTTATATACCAGTTTTAATAGGAGCTTAGAATACTTTTTGCCCTGGGTAGTTGTTGTGAGAAACAGGAGGGATGAGTAAAAATAAGCATGCACCATCCAACTTACTGTGAGAGCCTGGAATTTGGGCTCTTGGCAGAGAGGCGTATAATGATTCCACCACAGGAAGATTATCAGATATAGGGCCATAAGGAATGGTAGGTGAACAGTGCTGTGGATTAGAATAGCAGGTAGAGAGCTAGTATTGCTGCAGTGGATCCAAGCATTGTACATGCCATATATGCACTAAAAGGAACCCTCCCCTTTGTTTGGTTACATCACAGTCAGATCAGTCTCAAAATCCACTTACCAGTTCAAGATTTCACACTATTCCTGTTTGGTGTTGTTAGATAGATCTCCTATCCTAGATAGTCCTCTTTCCCTTTTTTTTTTTTTAAAATATCTTTTTTTTGTTTGTTTATAGGTTCCAGCTCCAAAACGTGGAGAAATTGTACGACAAATAGGTGATGCCCTACGCAAAAAGATTAAACTCCTAGGACACCTGGTATGTATGTGGTGTTAAACTAGGCAATTCACTCAAACATAGAAATGAGTGCTGAAATAAAATAAGCTGAATAATATTAGGGTTGTGTGTTTTTTGTTTGTTTTTTGGGTTTTTTGTGTGTGTGAAAATGACACTAATCTTCATTCATTTATTTTTCTTATCAGTTATATTTTGTCATTGAATTGTGGCATCTGAATGTGTCATTATTCACTATGTGAAGTTGTGCAGTGGTTAGTACCTAACAAAAGGTACTAGATGAACCAGCTTTAGGGTCCTGGGCGTTCAAGGCTCCCTGATGCAGTAAGGAGCAAAGGCTAGCCCATCTGCTCCGACCAAAGAAGAGCTATTTTAGCTCAAATTCCTGAAAAAAATAATGGCCATGAATGTATCACAGTTTGCTGCGTATGGTCTCTATAGCTGCAGAGTGGTGAAAGTGCCCATGATGAACCCTGTCCACTGCCAAAAGTGCCTTCCATGGGGCTGTGAGTGTCAGAACTGGACCATACAGTTGGCTGGTCTTTTAGATTAACAGCAACAACAGATGTGAGAGAGGCTGAACTTGAACACGTCTCTTTTTAGTTGATGTAAACTATGAATCCCGTTTTTCTTTTGGATCAGGTTGATGGCCGAGAGCTGTGTGTTGTTTGAATAGAAAGCAGCAGGATGCACTTTAGGAGACAGGCTAGCAGAGGCTGCGTTATGCTCTTCACAATGTTCTGTTGGGAAAGCTTGGTCCTGGCATTCATGTGGATATTACTTTGACACGTACCAGCTACCTAGAGATTATTGCAGATTCATGACAATGTTGTTCCCTAATGACAGTTGCCTCTGTCAGTAGGATAATGCACCGTGCCACACTGCAAAAATTGTTCAGGAATGGTTTGAGGAACATGACAAAGAGTTCAAGGTGTTGCCTTGACCTCCAAATTCTATAGATCTCAATACGATATGAGCATCTGTGGGATCTTCTGGAACATCCAATTCAATCTACAGAAGCCTCACCTAGCAACTTGCATGGCTTACAGGATCTACTGCTACTAGTGTAGTGATTTTTTATTTTTTTATTTTTTTTTGGTGTCCCTTTAACATTTAAACATAGGATGACTACAGATGACTTCAGGCACCATGATCACTTCATGAGAAAAAGTTTAGTAGAAGTTTGTATTTTTTTTTAGAACCGGGGATGCTTATGTTTTACATAAATACATTTCATCTTTAAGCACGCTGATTTATATTTCTCTATTTTTAGGAATCTTTGGAAATGGGGAAGATTTTAGTTGAAGGTGTTGGTGAAGTTCAGGAATACATTGATATCTGTGACTATGCTGTTGGTCTTTCCCGTATTATTGGAGGACCAATATTGCCTTCTGAAAGTAAGAATCGAATTCATTATACAGTACTGCATTGTACTTGTAATGTTTATATTTAATATCTGGGCAGGAGCAATTATAGTACTTAGAATGCCCTTAAACAGATCCTCCCCACTTCCCCAACATATCTACTGTGAAAACAAAATGTCTGGCTTGTATGGTCTGCTCTCAATTTTTAGTTTATTTTCCTTTTTATTTTTTTTTTAATTTTTTTTTTGTCATGGTTATCTGCAACAAATATAATAGATTTTGTGTTGGGCTAAAGCTTCTTTACAATTTTGCAGTGCCGTTCACTGACTCCTAATGTTGACCTAAATTTATTATTGTTTTTTATTTTTTTTAGGACCTGGACATGCCCTGATTGAACAGTGGAATCCTGTGGGTTTAGTGGGAATTATCACAGCTTTCAATTTCCCCGTGGCTGTTTATGGCTGGAACAATGCACTTGCCCTTATTTGTGGGGATGTGTGTCTATGGTAAGGAATACCTGGTATTGCAGTTAATTATGGCCTTTGTTGTGATACTCAGTAATGCTGTAGTGGTTATGAGCCAGAGGTGCCCTGGCTCTTTCCCAGTGTGTAATCTGTTAAGACGTTTTGGTATGCTTTGACACCTGCCTGCATCTCACTGGGCACCCATGCGGCTTCTGATCTTTTAGAACAGAAGAAACTGACCAGAAACTGCATTGATGCTCATATGGTTTGATAGATTATGTTAAGATGGCACCAGGGCATTTCTGGCACCAAAACCACTACAGTGCGCTCAGACGTGTAACTACAAAAAATACTGCGCAATTTACCCTGGGGCCCCCCATTCCTTTCCTCTCCCCCTCTGCGCCCCCCCCCCATACATCTACTTCTCCCATACCCCCCTCCCCGTACGTCTACCTCCCGACCGACAGTCCCTTCCTCCCAGCGTCTGACATCATCACAGGGGGCCTGGTTGAGCTGATTAAGCGCCGCAGCACTGCCTGGGGCCCCCTGGATATTCATTGCCATCGGGTGGCCCTAACAGCATGGGCCACCCGATGGACCCCTTCAATGCAGTCACAGGGGTCTGCAGGGCGGTCGGACCCGGTCGCACCTATGACCACGTTCCGACAGTGAGTGGGCTGTAGTGGTTATGGTGCTTGGAGTGTTGCTTCATATGTGCATTGTTAAATATTACTTAACTAGACTGTGCTGGGTAAATGTTCTTCTTTGATGTTTGTGACAACCTCCTTTTACGCAGTGTTGGGAATGTTCCACCTTTCAATGCAAGTCCAAGGTGTGTTTTAATAACGTGTACAGTGCAAGTATTAGCTGCCTTCTATTCATTTTCCGGGGAGGAACCCCACCATGCTGCAACAAAGGGTGGCTCTGGTGAGGTTATCCCTGTATCCTTGTGCAGGACGTAAACTCCTCCCACCACCCTCCACTTTCATTCTGGCATGCACTTGAAAGGAATATGACTATCATCCTATTACGGATTATTGTAAATCTATAACATTTTATTCTTGTTGTGAGGAGCATTGTACATGGAAATTATTGTAAATTGCTTTCTGTTACAGGAAAGGAGCCCCGACGACATCTCTTACTAGTGTAGCTGTTACAAAGTAAGTGATCTTGGTGTACACAATGCAAAGAAAATAAACATTTCTCTTGCAAATCATAAGACGCAGATGAGTGGAGCATGATGCTCGGATAATGCTTTTCTTTCAGTATTTCTTGTATCTCCCTTATCGATTGAACGTCACAAAGATTAGTAATTATTCCTTGGTATAAAAGGGTCGTTATAGAAATATTGGTACAAAAGATATGTGCATAAGAAATTCACGCACACAAAGCCGCAGCAATACAATCATATGTAGCCATCCCATTATGGTAATATGCATTATAAATTCTATTTTGATATTGGCCGCAGCTTGTCTATATTTTGTCCTAATTGTAGGATGAGGTAAACATGAAGGTGCAATAGACTGAAGGGAAGAACCTGGGGTCGAGGGAGAATTTTCTTTGCATGTGTGCGTGCGCTTTTGTTAATTGACAGCCACTTTATTTTCCCTATGTGCCATTTTAAAACCCCTTCAGCGAAAAGGTAGCGGTTCAGCTACAACTCCCAAGGTGTGTTGACTTTGCACAGCATCATAAGAATTGTAGGTCAAAATCTGGAATACTTGGATACCTCTGCCGAACTTAAGCCTCAATGTATTGTTGGATAAGTTTAAATAAAAAAAATAAATAAAAATATTACAAATTAAAATAGTTTTCATAATATTAAATCCTTTTTAAAGTTTATACAGAAATATTACATCATTTGGAAAACTCGCCCAACAATATTGAATCGAGTCCTTATTTGATTTGTTTACTTACCAGACCAGTGTATTGTCCTGCGCTCTTCAGTTCCATTAACGTTGAAATTCTGACCTCAAATGATTTGCCTGTTAAGCATGGTTAATTGTTATGAAAGAAAATACAAATGATTAAGCTAATCTATCTGTAAAACATCTGTATACGCGTGGGTGGCTGATCATGTGTGGTTTGCATAGAAAATAAGTGTAGCTGAAGTGTAAATTGGATTTAATGACATTAGTTGCCATGTGAACACAATTACAGACTTAATAGCCATTTCTACCAATCTTACACAATAACTGGATGAGGGGAAGACGGTCTATAGCATGTCTTATATGGCAAGCTCTTTCAATTTAATACAGAGGATTAACTGTTGGAATAATTTTAGATTAGTTTGCTGACGTGCTTTAAAAAAAAATAATTAATTCCATTTAACAAAGTGCAAAAGATTTAGAAATTTGTTAGATCCCCAATAAAATAATGCAGCAATAAATGCCTGCATGTTTTCATTGGTGGCATGTCTACTAAATTGTTAAAAAATAATAAATTCTACTGGAGTACTTTTATTTTTTTCTTTCTAAAAGTATTGTTTGTGATTTATTTTATCAACTCATTAGGGTTGAAACACTTTAAATGGAAACTGGTATTTCCCTAGACTTTTAATATTCAATTTTCTCTTTTATCCTGATTGCCATCGTGGTTGCCTGTTAATTCTTGTAATAACCTCTGCCTTTTGCGCAATCAACATAGAAAAAGCAAACAAGGAGAAGAGAAATGAAGCAATGTTGCTATTTCTCTTAATTTATAATGTTTGCCCTGGCAATGCCTGGATTTAACTGGATTGCAGTGTAGTTTGTTAAATCTTTAATGTGCATTTAAAGAAACTGTAACATTACATACAAAAATAAGTAAAAACCAGTTCTAGATGATTTTCTAGGTTTTATTCAATGATGCATTTTCCATGACAGCTCCCCTTTATCAAACCATTGCAATACGGCAATACTACAAAATAGGCACAGGTGTAGAGAGCCATGTGAACGTTTTGGTTTTCTGGAGACTTAGGAGGAAAATGCAGTGTTTTTATGTATGTATTGTTTCTTTCTTTTCTCTTTTAATTTTTTTTTTTTTTTTTAAACCATTTAAAAAGTGTGTGTGTGTGTGTGTGTGTGTGTATATGTGTATATGTGTGTGTGTGTGTATATATATATATATATATCCTGTTTTATTAAGGAAGGAGAGGGGGCATTTTTTAACTAGAATAAGTGTTTTAGACTGTGCTGACCCCTTTAAACAATGTCTATTTTATTAAGGACCAGGGCTGTCCTAGTGTTGTCAGCACGCCACTGGTATTTCTATAACAAAAGCTCATTAATGTGTGATAATTTTTAATTAACTTATTCTTCCTTGTGCTTTTCAGAATAGTTGCTCAGGTTTTAGAAGATAACAACTTACCTGGTGCTATCTGCTCCTTGACATGCGGTGGAGCTGACATTGGGTAGGTTTTTCAGTTTAGATTTAAATCATTACATAACACTACTTATTTACTTCAATGAATAATTGTAAGCAATACATTGTGACCTTTTCAAATAAACCCACTCAGATTATGTCCCCGAAAAACTTTTTTAAATTTATTTATTTATTAAATCTCACAGACTTAAACGTGTTGTTCACTAGTTATCTGGTCTGTGAAAGTGCTAGAAGTATATATTCCTGCACACTTCAGACTGTCATCAACATAAATATGTCATTCTTTTCTAGGAATGCTATAGCCAAAGATGAGCGTGTGGACCTCGTTTCATTTACGGGTAGCACCAGTGTAGGAAAGCAAGTGGCTCTTAAAGTTCAGGAAAGGTTTGGTAAGTTCTAAGCTGGTTTAGACTGTTAAATGATCTATAAATCTTTTCATGGATATATTCCTCCAAATACAAATGTATAATATCAAACTGTCCTACTTCATCTTATATTGAAGATGCTACTTTAGATGGATTTTGCAACCTCTTAACCAATACATGAACTTTAAAGCATGCTCTTTACTTGATAATTAGATGTGATTTTTGTGGATTTAAATCTCTGTCCCAGTGTTTTTATTCTGTTCTTCAGGCCCAGAGATGGAAATTTGTCAGCAAACTAGTTAATCCTTGCGTAAACAAGATAATTCTCTTAAACAAAATCTTCACACATTAGAAGACTTGAATTCATCCATGTTTTGAGTTAAATGATGTTGACGTTGGCGATCCATATTTTATCCAGAATGTTGAACAATGTAATGCAGAGAGTGAGGTGGATGGCCAACGTAGTCTACGACATACAAAGGGACGCTAGTCACCAGAACAACCACAGCTTAATGTTGTAGTTCTGGTGTCTATATAGATATCTGCACTTTTCAATGTAATCCCTGCCTTTTCAGAGAAATAATGTTATCATAAACTGATTTTTCTACTTGAATATGCATACGATAATTTGTTTTATAAGTACATAGCAATGTATTCTTGCACTGCCAAATTACCAAAAAGGTAAATTCACAAAAAAATAATCTTCTGTTTGGGCAGTCAGTGATCATCCTCTGTATGTGATAAACCTTCTAAGTAATGCACATGCAAATGATAGATTAAAAATAAGTAAAGTCCATAAAAGATAACTTTTACTATCTGAAGACACTGAAAATAAGACTACTTAACAACCTTTGTGAATACGTAAACAGAACTATTTTCTCAAACTGCATGGTTCTAAATACTGCACAAGAAATAACATGAGTAAATCCTCTCAGGGATCCAGAATGTTAAACACATTTGTCTCAGTTCCTGTAGTCTTTTAATAGAGTACCAATAGAGTACCGCTAATCCAAGCAATGGTGGCTCCTATAGATTCACAAACTTGGTATCTATTCAGTTACTCTACCGTGTCTTACAATCACTACATGGAAAGGGATATTATTATTATTGTTGTTGTTGTTGTTGTTGTTGTTGTTATTTTATTTTATTTAGCACCAACTTATTCCACAGTGCTTTACAATATTATGGAAGGGGGAAATGTAATAATGAGAGGGGCAATTACAAAATGATACAGGAACGATAGTTAGATGAGGACTGTGACAGAATGCCTGTCGCTGCCATCCCCACATGTGCCCACTTGCTTGCCCGCATTGTTTTCAGGTCCCCCTGTTGGGGATCACCCTATATGCTCCTAATGGAGCCATAATCACTGGCCGGAGACAATCCAGGAGCCTCATGCCTGCAGCTGGACTGTCAGCAAGACAGACAGCCACTGCAGGGACTGCCTACCCAGTAGCTACAAGTTGCTCGTAGCTGCCCAAAGAGCGCTCTCTCTGGTGCTACCTATGTGAAGATATCCACCAGAGAGAGATGCAAGCCCCAGCAGACTCCCTGGAACGATGAGTCGACTTCACGGCCGCAGAGTCTCGCTGGTCGCCTGGAAGTCCGTGCCGGCCAATAAGACAAGGGCTACCATTCAGACTGGTTTTGCACCCTTTCTCCCAATTGGCCAGCGAGTCACCTCTCCTCCCTGAGCACCGATTTGGGGCAAATTGGTTTGCACCTTTTCTTCTGATTGGTCGCTGCGTGGTTTAGGCGCGTAATTTGAATCAACTGGCCGAAAACTAGTTATTCTGTGGGGCTATTTTCGGGGATGTACAGAACCTCAAGCCCAGATTTTGTACAATGATTTCTCTGGCTCTGTACATCTGGTAGCTCAGCTATTTGCAGGGATCATAGCTGGGACCAGGAGCTATTTGGGGATGTATGGCATGTGGGGATGCATTACTGTATTGTGTGTATTTTTGTGGTTTTTGTATGTTTGGCTTCCTCTGTCTGGGAGATACCATTATCTGCCAGACACGACGACGCCTAGGCAGGCTTATGTTTTCATGTTACTTTGAATGGAGACCCCTTGCTGTTGGGTCTGTGCATAAATACCTTGTATCTTGCCTGAAATAGTTCTATTTCACCCTTCACTAAGTCTCGACTAGTGTTTGGTTGATACCACGATTGTCCTCCTGCAAGTGACTATAATCACTGGCTAGCAGCTCTAATCACTACAGGGCTAGGCACAACTAGGAAGGGGCGACCACAGGTGGTAGTAACCCATCCACGAGAGGGTATACTGCCACAAGGACCCTGCCCAGACTAACTTAGAGTGGCGTATAAAGGCAGAAAATGGAGGGCATCAAGGGGGACAATAAACAAACAAGGTGGGAAAGGAACAGAACTGGAGGTAAGAGTGGAGTGTGGCTCATAAGTAGAGCCAGAGACAGATTTAGGACATAGAAGATACTCTGTGAGGTCATAAGCATTAAAAAAAAAAAAAAAGGGGTTTTGAGGGATCTCTTAAAGGACCACTATAGTGCCAGGAAAACAAACTCGTTTTCCTGGCACTATGGGGTCTTTAGGTCCCGCCCCCCTTCTGCCGGGCTGAAGGGGGAGGAAGGGGTTAAACTCTTACCTTTCTCCAGCGCCGGGCTCCCTCGGCGCTGGGGACTCTCCTCCCTCTTCTGACGTCATCCGCCACATGCGCAGCAAGAGCCGCACGTGCATTCATACAGTCCATAGGAAAGCATTTCTCAATGCTTTCCTATGGACGTCAGCGTCTTCTCACTGTGATTTTCACAGTGAGAAGCGCGGAAGCGCCTCTAGCGGCTGTCAATGAGACAGCCACTAGAGGCTGGATTAACCCTAATGTTTACAGCTGCAGGGTTAACCCTAGATGGACCTGGCACCCAGACCACTTAATTGAGCTGAAGTGGTCTGGGTGGCTATAGTGGTCCTTTTTAAACGATTTGAAGATTGTCTGATTGGGGTAGGCAGGCTGTTTCAAAGGAAATACAGCCGCCCGTGAAAAGTCCTGTAAGTGTGAGTTAGCATTGAGGGTGCGAGTAGCTGACAGGAGAAGGGCACCGACCGAACGGAGAGACAGACCAGAGGCATGCCTATGAATCGGTGAAAAAATATAACAGGTGCTAGAGTTGTTTTAGAGCTTTATAGGTAAGGATATCAAATGAGTGCCAAATGGCCATCACATTTATGTGCCTATTACTAACTTCTCCAGCTAGCATATGTGTTCGAGTTGGAGTGGGTTGAGAAAGGAAAGATTGTAATAAGTCCTTTAACACTTTAAAGTATATTGCATAGGAATCCGTCATTGGATGATCCAAAATTGGGTATTTGAGATATGGTGTCTGTTTTTATAGATGAGTATTTGTTTTTTTTGCAGGAAGACAGTTACTTGAACTTGGTGGAAACAATGCAATCATTGGTAAGATTTTACTTGTTTCTTTCCTTTTTTTTTTTTTTTGTGTGTGTGTTTTCATAAAAAAAAAACACAATTAAGTTTCTGATCATATTGTCTTCAACCCATCAATAAATAAATTATCTGGAGCATATTTAAATATATACCTACATCTGAATTTTGGCTGCATTCTAGTTGGAATTATTGCAAGTCTTTTATTTATTTTTTTTTAACAGAAAATTGCAAATTGAGACTTCTCAGATTTTATTGTAATTCTTTACTTACTCTTTATGACTTGTATTTTCAGTTTTTGAAGATGCTGATCTTACTCTTGTGACACCATCCGTTCTTTTTGCTGCTGTGGGCACTGCGGGCCAGAGATGTACAACAGCCAGACGGCTGGTAAGAATATTTAAAATTCCATGTGCTTTGTACAAATACAGTGTAGTTGTCCACTGTCAGTTTTTCTTTAATAGAAATTAAATAAATAATCCCGTGTGTGTGTATGTGTGTGTGTGTATATATATATATATATATATATATATATATATAATGACATGTACTGTACTTAAATCTAATGAGCAATAGAAACTAGTGTGCATGTGCATCCAAGCTTTCCCAATGGAAAGCATTGTATTCAGTGCTTTTCATTTGGCTTCGTCATCATGTGACTGAGTTTTTTTTTTTTTCTTGGTCAGTCTTGCTTAAGCACCTCTAGTGGCTATCGAGAAAAAAGCCACTAGAGGTGGATTTATCCTGCAATGTACAAAACTGCATTACAGGGCCATTGCACCCAGATCGCTTCATTGAGATCAAGTGGTATGGATGATTTTAGTGTTACTTTAAGTTATTTTGCACACTTGCTCAATCCTGGCAACTACGAATACTAGCCAGCTTCTGGAGCCTCCTGGGCATCTCTCCGACTGAGTGCCATCACTCGTCCTTCTGACTATTTCAGCTGATCAATGTGTGCAGCCTGCGGCCTAGAATGCGGCATTGGAAGTGACCGAACTCCCAAACCTGGCTTCGACTGTCCTGTCCTGCAAACAATCGGAAACCCATACTCCCTGCCCCATCCTACCTCTTCCCCTCCCCAGTGGTCCGGTGGGGGTTATCCTGATTCCCACCAAGGGTTGCTAGCCTACCAGCTCCACCCAGGTGATACAGACACCACAGGACGAATCTTAGCGTAAGTTCCAAAATAGCCACGGCTGCTGATACCACATGGCAAAACTACCAAAGCGCATAAGCTCACCTTCATAGCTATCTGCTCCCGGTTCTGGGAAAGGCTGGAGGTCTGGCAAAGCAGTCCTCTGGTACCTGTGGACCAGCTGATCCTTCCGGCAACTCCCAGGTAGTTCCATATGAGCACTGTCCACGCACTCAGGAGATTTGTTGTACTTGCGCCATGGCAGGCACGCAACAGAGATTTAAAATAGATAAAATAGAAAGGTGAACAGCGCTAAAAATCAGAAAATGTACATACGTTTTGTAGAAATACTGGCCAGCAGAGTAACTTAAAAAAAGAGAGAAACAAAAATACAAATAATGGTACAGTATGTATGAACGATATAATTCCACAAGAACAAAGGTGTTATATTCACACTCACACTTTGAGGAGCTATATCAGCTCGGTGTTAAGAGCCTGGACGGAATAATCCCCGTCTATGGATTTCTTGAGGTTCAAGACCGTTGGTGAATTTATAGGTGTAAATATTCGTTACATGAAAAACAAGAGTAAAATACACCACATGGTATAGTACGTAAATATAAAATATTGTGAAAAAAAAAGTGGATGATCCTACTTACATATACTAGAGCAACGACCTGCTCTAGTTTGGAGAATTTCAGGTGGAATAATCCCCACCTTGGGATATAGTGAACCCAGGTATAGCAGCAAAGCAGTATTGGATAGGAAGGAGGACAAAAGGAATGACTGGATAGTTTAAAAAATATATATACTTTAATACAATAAGTGAAAAGTGAATAATAAACTATAAAACCAGTCCTGTATAAAAGTCCAAAATTCTTCCTCACTTGACGCGTTTCGCCGAAGCTTTCTCAAAAAAGTAAAAGCTTCGTCGAAAGCGAAGTCAAGAATTTTGGACTTTTATACAGGACTGGTTTTATAGTTTATTATTCACTTTCACTTTATTGTATTAAAGTATATATATTTTTTAAACTATCCAGTCATTCCTTTTGTCCTCCTTCCTATCCAATACTGCTTTGCTGCTATACCTGGGATTATATTCCACCTGAAATTCTCCAAACTAGAGCAGGTCGTTGCTCTAGTATATGTAAGTAGGATCATCCACTTATTTTTTTTTTTATTTATTTTTTTTTCAATATTTTATATTTACGTACTATACCATGTGGTGTATTTTACTCTTGTTTTTTATGTAACGAATATTTACACCTATAAATTCACCAACGGTCTTGAACCTCAAGAAATCCATAGACTGGGATTATTCCGTCCAGGCTCTTAACACCGAGCTGATATAGCTCCTCAAAGTGTGAGTGTGAATATAACACCTTTGTTCTTGTGGAATTATATCGTTCATACATACTGTACCATTATTTGTATTTTTGTTTCTCTCTTTTTTTAAGTTACTCTGCTGGCCAGTATTTCTACAAAACGTATGTACATTTTCAGATTTTTAGCGCTGTTCACCTTTCTATTTTATCTGTCCATTTATCACAAAGTAGAGAAACACCTTGTTGGTGAACTGCAGCTCACCCCTGAGAAGAGAGCGCTTATTATTCTTTTGCACGCAACAGAGATTTGCCTGGGAAGTTGAGGGCTTGTTTAGTGGACATTTGGTGCAGGCTTTGGTGATGGGCTGGAGCAGCAGTGCACTTGGAGCATGGGGCATATCCTTTTGGCCGTATGTGGCGTTCCTAACCTGTAGGAGAATACTTCGGGACTGTGCTTGAGCATGGGAGTCGGGTGATCATTACACAAGCTTGACACAATTTTAGGGTCCTCACCCAACTATTGCGCTGTTATTTTTAGTTCATTTTAATCATTCATGCCGCCCTCTGAAGTCCTGAATGCACTACCATGCATGTGCGCGGCCGCGAGCTGAGCTGACAGCTCAGCTCGCGGTCTTTGCCCACCTCCTCTCCTCTGCTGACAGGCAGAAGAGAGAAGGCGCGCACACAGTGCCTTCTCTCTCCTGCACACGTCAGACGTATTTTAATACGTCTGATGTGTACAAGGCCTTTTTAGGGCCCTACATAATAGGAAGTCCCTCTGGTGGCCGTCTGAGTGACTGCCACTGGAGGTATTCCTATCAATCAATGTAAACACTGTATTTTCTTTGAAAATATAGTGTTTACATTAGATTGCCTGCAGGGAGCTATAGATCATACCTGAAAAACTACATTAAGCTGTAGTTGTTCAGGTGACTATAGTGTCCCTATAATTTAATCTGCATACGATGTAATGTTTAGTTGTTCTGTTTGCAACAGTGTCAACTTCATTCTCATGTATGTGACTTTTGTTCTATGTTAGCGCTTGCACTGTAAATGTACCACTCAATAAAAAATTGACGGAAAAATATCTACTCATATACTTTTGTTTTATTTATTTTTTTTAGTTTTTGCATGAAAGCATTCATGATGAAATTGTGGAAAAGTTGGCCAAGGCCTATGCACAAGTGCGTATTGGAGACCCTTGGGAATGTGAGTACTTTTTGTTTTGCTGCATGTAAATAATTTGCGTAAAAAATTGCCTTAGCCACAAATTGTAAAGGAATAAAATGTCATAATATTTAGCCTTTTACATCTTGTGAAGTTTGCTATTGGTACTAAATTTAAAGGATAAACTACAATTACATAATCTGTGTTCAGACACATTAACAGCTACCAAGGAGTCTTTTGAATTGTCATCAAGATCATAATTCCACCACTCTGATACTTTCAAATTATTGTGATTACAATTCTGCCAAAGAGAAATTGGCAACACTTTAACAGGATCTTTGGTAACATGGCAAACTTAACGCCTCTGTTAACCAGTACCTCAAAATATGTCTCTTTCTAACAACAAATACCCCCAAATGTTTGTCACTTTTCTTACAATTAACCAATACCTCAAAACACTTGTTAGTGCATGTAACGGTAGTCACCATCACTGGGAGCAGGACGACACTTTACAAAGGTTCATAAATTGCTCCTATACCCTAGTCACCCTGTGCCCATTCTAGGTGCAGGGTGTTTATATATTGTTAGTCGGTAACAAGCATCAGCAGGACAGGAGAGCACACAAAACAGTTAAAGGACCGCTATAGTGCCAGGAAAACATACTCGTTTTCCTGGCACTATAGTGCCCTGAGGGTGCCCCCACCCTCAGGGACCCCCTCCCGCCCGGCTCTGGAAGGGGGAAAGGGGTAAAAACTTACCTTTTTCCAGCGCTGGGCGGGGAGCTCTCCTCCTCCGTTCCTCCCCGTCAGCTGAATGCGCACGCGCGGCAGGAGCTGCGTGCGCATTCAGCCGGTTGCATAGGAAAGCATTATCAATGCTTTACTATGGACGCTTGCGTGCTCTCATTGTGATTTTTCACAGTGAGAATCGCGCAAGCGCCTCTAGTGGCTGTCAGTGAGACAGCCACTAGAGGATTTGGGGGAAGGCTTAACCCATTCATAAACATAGCAGTTTCTCTGAAACTGCTATGTTTATATAAGAATGGGTTAAGCCTAGCTGGACCTGGCACCCAGACCACTTCATTAAGCTGAAGTGGTCTGGGTGCCTAGAGTGGTCCTTTAAGTGGACTTGGCTATGGAGCCTGTATAGTGCCCTCTGCTGGTAGCACACACACTAGCTGTATAGCATAGCATGGCTTGTTATGTTATTGTAATTCTCTGTTTCATGACATGTTTTGATTATTTGTATTCTATTACATTTGTCACAGCAAGCTTTATTTAATAAGCATATGGGCTTATACAGCTTTAAAAATAAAGCTGTGTATATTTGTTCCTTTTGAAACTTGTGTCCTGTGTGGATTTTTAGGGATTCCAGTAACAGTCTTCGGACATGTTGACTGGCTGCACAATACCTCTAGCCCTGGGATAACTCGAGAGCCGGGTCTGAGAGCCTTGTGTGCCTTTATAAAGGCAATAGAAGTCACATTGCAGGCAGAGGTGGATATCTGCCTGGAAGAAGGGCTTCAGAGGGGACGGCATCAGCCTGGAAGTAGAGCTGAAGCCTGGTTGGGTGAAAAAGCTCCAGAGAGACCCGAGTGAAGCCTTGGCAACTGGGGTTAAAGTGTTTTAGGCTCCCTCCCCAACGGCTAGGTACTCGGTTGGAGTACAGGAGCTCCGTCACAGTGCATAAACTAAATGACACGTAAAAGCAACTTTAAGGAAAGATTCTTTAACCAGTTGTAACTAGCAAACTGGATAGCCTTGTATTATTACAGCTTTAGTTTTCAATTTAATTTCTGTTCTTTTTTTCGGAACTATGCTTGAATGTGTACCCAATTTTGTTTATACATTTTGCAGCTGAAACCTTATGTGGACCTTTGCATACTAAGCAGGCTGTGGAAATGTTCCTTTCAGCAATTGAACAGGGAAAATGTGAAGGTGGAACAATTGTCTATGGTGGAAAGGTCGGTGGCTTCTCCATTGAATTTGTGTTTTTTTTTTTTTTCATTCTCCTACGAGCCTTTTTGTTGTATCATTGTTGCAATCAAGTGGTGTGTTTTTTTCTTCGTTTTTAAAAAAAAAAAAATAAATAAATATATATATATATATATTTATATATATATTTTTAAGAGGCGAACATATACAAATATGAGGTAATTGTAATGCAATACCATCTACAGCATGTATATTTTAAACTGTTTTTTTATTTTATTTTTTTAATAACGCATTGAGGGGAGTCTGGAACAAGAAGCATGGCACAGGCGATCAACAATGATTATTTAGCGGTTTGGCTACATTCCATTTTTGTATCATTTCTGTAGTCTATCTTATATACCTTGCAAAAAGCTTTTGGGGAAAAAATATCCACTCTTTTAATTTTTTCTGTTTTTTTAAAGGAGTCTCTAAAGCTTACTTTTAGTTATTTATAGAGAAGCAGTTTCTGGGTGTTTTCAGTCATTTTACAATAGTTTGACAAAAATTGCTCTTATGCCACTCAACCCTGGCAATAATCGGATGCATGTGCTTGGAAGTGGCTTAGCCCAAACACTCACAACCTATTATTTTTTGGATAAATAATACAGAAGAGAATCTTCCATATTATCCAGGGAGCTGCAGAGGGCCAGGCTTTGGCTGCTGCAGAAAGATCCATTTTTTTCATTTTCTTTTTAAACCAAAATAGTTAGACAGAACTAGAACCAGGGAATTGCACTACAATAGCTTTTATTAGCTGTAGTGGTTATGTTGCTTAGAATGCCCCTTTCATGTGTGCACTTTTATATGGGCTGCTAACAAATGTATTTAATTCCTACAATACCAAATTTTGGGGGGTAAAAGTGGCATAACATGGGGTGGATTTCTTGCACCTTGCATGAATCTGCAGTCTCACAGACAGATTGTTATTCATGGATACATAAGCAAAGTTATATTTCAAATTTTACATTTTCTTAGATGTTACAAAAATACCTAGGGAAACTATATGGTATCCCATGAATTGCAGGGTCTAAAAAGCTTTTCCGAAAGCTGAAACACCATTTTATTTATTTATTATTTGATATGGTATGTGTGAGAAAAATCTAAATAAAACCACCAAATCTGCTTCTGTAAACGCAACTAGACTTTGAAAGACTTTTTTTTTTAGTGGGTTGGCATCACAGTCCAAATTTTAGTGTAGTTTTAAATGAGTGTAATTTATTTTCTTTTTACACTGATTGCTCGGTGATATTTTTGTTCTTTGAAATTCATCCAGGTTATTGATCGTCCAGGAAACTACGTTGAACCAACCATCATGACTGGATTGCCCCATGACTCGCCGATTGTTCACAAAGAGACTTTTGCTCCTATCCTTTATGTTATTAAATTCAAGGTATTACATGAGAATACACTATACCAAATACTGATAACCGTTGTAACTGATGGATATCAATCATGGGATTAGTGTATATTAATATTTATATTCTGTTCTTGGTAGTCTGAAGAAGAGGCGTTTGCATGGAATAATGAGGTCAAACAAGGTCTTTCAAGCAGCATCTTTACTAAGGATCTAGGGAGAATTTTCCGCTGGCTTGGGTAAATTCTTCTAAAATGCTTTTTATTTGTTTTCTGTTGCAATTCTTATTTTAAGAATGTAGACATTACAAGGCTGAAGGCCTGAGGGTGATTTTAAAAGGTGTATTTTCAGTTCTTTATTAAAATTCCTTTTATCTGTTCTAAGTATATTGTTCACATAATCCAGCATTATCCTAGCATGTGCTTATTTGCAAAAGTTGAAATGTTTTAATCTTATATAAGGTTGTGCATCTGTTTAAGATGGACTCAAATCAAATCATCAGTTGTCAAATGTATATTTGGGAAATGCATTTTTTTTTGTGATGGTACTGTAGTTTATACTGCATACTACTTGTACTCCTTTTTACAGTGATTTGCTACTTTACATATCACAGGCTTTTAACTGCAGTAATTCAAACTATATTAAAGGCAACTCAAAGTGCAGATTGGTGTTCATACCGTCTGTGATGCTGTATGTCTCCATTATAAAAGACATGTTTTGTATCCACTAGGCCAAAAGGTTCCGATTGTGGTATAGTGAATGTCAACATTCCTACTAGTGGAGCAGAGATTGGAGGAGCTTTTGGTATGTGTTCGTTTTTATTCTGCCTTTCTTTCTTGATGTGTTTTTACTTTTGTCAAACGTTTTGATCAGCGTTACCTTGTTTAAAACCATAACCTTGTTTTTAAACCATTTTCTTTTCACAAACTTGACATTTAACATGGGGTAATTAGTCTTTTAAAGGGGAACCATATCTACTTTGGAAATTATACTACTGGGGTACTGAGGGGGACGGAAAATCACATACAAATTGAGTTAACTATTTATTTGTATAGTAAAGATTGGGCAATTAACATCACAAACGTGTTCAGTCCAGGCACATCTATGTACCTATTGTATTGAGTAGCAGTAGAAACTGCTTTTCCTTTCTGGTAACTGACCAGTGCTAAGGATTGATTGACAGGGAGCAAAAAATGAGGAACTCTGTTCCAGGATAAAGTAAATCCATCAGTTTGGATTTCTACCTCACCATATGTGTCAGTAAACATAAGTTGGTTCCACTCTAAGAAAATCACTTGGTCACAGGTGCGTTGTATTGTTCCAGCTAATTAACGTGTTCTTATTATAATGCGCTAATTAATAAATATTTTAGGAGGGGAGAAGCACACTGGAGGAGGGAGAGAGTCAGGCAGTGATTCTTGGAAACATTATATGAGAAGATCTACTTGGTGAGTGAAATATCCCCACGTATATATCTTAAATTCTATCATCTGCAGGTAAAGTACAGCTGGAGCCTTCTCCTCAGAATAAGTTTATCACCTGCAGCTTTCTGGCATGACCAGCTTTCATTTCAGTTTTTTTTTTTTTTTTTTTTTAGAATTCCTATTAATTAATTTAAACTTTTTCTTGTTTCAGTACCATTAATTACAGCAAGGACTTGCCGCTAGCTCAAGGCATAAAGTTCCAGTAAATGGCCAGTAGATGACTCTCTACGTCTTGGAAACATCTTGACTGTAATCGTCACTACAGAGGAATTGTAGTGTTGTGTGTTTTTTTATGTACTGAAAAGCTTAAAAGCTTGGACTAGTGTTTGACTGAAGATTGATTTGCCTACATTCTGACTATTTCAATAATCTTGCTGGCTTCCCTAGGAATTTATTAGTTTCCGAACTGCATTTTTTTTTTAAGTGATTAAAATGGAATACAGCCATCTCACAATCTTGCCGAATGTACTTTTTGTTCTGTATTAGGAACATTTATTTGAAATGTAATTTTACAGTATACAGATTGTCATTTGTGATTCTTTGTATATCCTAGGAAAATGCTGTATCTATTTACAGGCTTTATAATTTAATTTGAGACCTATTTTTCAAAAAGAGACCAATCTAGATCTGAATGACCCTATACATCAGCTTCAGATATCAAAATGTAGTCTATATAAGGATTTGGTGAAATTATCAGCATATGTATATGTTGCATTATAGTTTCCTTTACCGCCTAGTTATTGCCGCTATGGTGAATGCATTTGCCTGCAGGAGTTTAGTGCAGTATCCCACAATACCTAATATGTAGTGCACACGAACAAGCGTATTCGCTAAAGTTCAATTGGAACACGAAGACTGCGAAATCCAATCATTAAAGGACCACTCTAGGCACCCAGACCACTTCAGCTTAATGAAGTGGTCTGCATGCCAGGTCCAGCTAGGGTTAACCCATTTTTTCATAATTATAGCAGTTTCATAGAAACTGCTATAATTATGAATGGGTTAAGCCTTCCCCCTAATCCTCTAGTGGCTGTCTCATTGACAGCCGCTAGAGGCGCTTGCGTGCTTCTCACTGTGAAAATCACAGTGAGAACATGCAAGCGTCCATAGGAAAGCATTGATAATGCTTTCCTATGAGATCGGCTGAATGCGCGCGCAGCTCTTGCCGCACGTGTGCATTCAGCCGGCGGGGCGTAACGGAGGCGGAGAGGAGGAGGAGAGCTCTCCGCCCAGCGCTGGAAAAAGGTAAGTTTAAACCCTTTTCCCCCTTCCAGAGCCGGGCGGGAGGTGGACCCTGAGGGTGGGGGCACCCTCAGGGCACTATAGTGCCAGGAAAACGAGTGTTTTCCTGGCACTATAGTGGTCCTTTAAGATTTAACAATGCCCAGATTTAGTCCTACTGACTCCAGCCGAGTATTGTATCCGAAATTCTTCTGGGCCAAATGCTGCTGTATGGTTAAAATTCAGCCACTGGTTTTCAATGCTCGAACTCGTAAATAAATCAAATACAAATATGATTAAACAAAAAGCTGCCAGCTACATTTAAAATGTAGTAAACTTTTTTTTTTTTTTTTTTTTAAACCCAGCAGTCCACTGGATTGCAAGCACTGGCTGGCTGCTGAATAGGCTTGCACTGCCAGTGGATAAATAGTCCTGATTATTGTTTGCTTACAAAAAGAACGTGAATTCTAACTTGCAAATGTGCATCCTATCTGATGTATTATGTCCTGGTACCCCTTACAAAATGTGCTTTGGAAATTTTCTTGATCTTAGATTTTATATAAGATTCAGACATGAAAACCTAAATCCGACTGCATTCGGTAAAACTTGCAGATTTGTTTAAGACGATCAAATTCTGACTAAAGGTGAGAATTGCCATTTCAGTTGGTATTTAGAATGTTGTCCACCCGCAATAACCCTGTAAGAATTGTGGCTTATCGTGACAATCCGTTTAGGGTTGGCTTGATCTTTGGAAAAAGCATAAATAAATCCACAAACTAAATTTGACTATAAGGTTTTTTGTTTTTTTTTCTACACTTGCCAGCTATTTAAAGCAATGTGTAGATAAAATTTTATAAAGTGACAGCTTGTCATTTTGAAAATTATAAACTACGGTCTCATTGTTGTGTGTTGTACCCACTGATTGCAGATGGATGTAAACATCAAATCAACAAAAAATAAAAAAGATAATTTTTTTAAATCTTTCATGGCTAGTGGTGTTTTTTATACTACAATTTTTATACTATCAAGTTTATATTACAAGGAATAATCTTTTTCTGTTTTTCATATCTATAAACGGTTCACACATAGTGTAATCAATCAGAATATGGTCTATAGAGAGGAGTTAAACAGTCCAATGTGTAATTAAAAACTAAACAAACGGGGGGGCGTGTCTAGGCACGGAGAGAGATGGCCGCATGAGCTCTTAGCTCCGCACCACGAGCAAGGCAAAAGCATTCCTAAGTGGGAACCCTGCAAGAAAACAACCTATACCCCAAAGATGTCGCAGCCCAAAACCCGCCGGCACCAAGATAAGCCCGACAAAATGAGCTTCTTCGCTCAGAAGAAAGGGGCAGCTCTGGCAAAGCAAGCAGACACAGCAGGCCATCAAGATGGCGCCGACCACTCCGGGGGGAGCAGCCCAAGATCAGAGGCGGATTCACTGCATGACGGAGAACCGCTCACAGCTGCCTTCCTAAAGAGAGCCCTGGACGAACAATCACGAAGGCTGGTTGCTACCTGGCAATCCAGCGTGGCAGAACTTAAACGGGACCTCCAGGATATCGGGTCTCGCACAACACACGTGGAAGCAAAGATGGAGGACTTAGTCGACGCGCACAACGCGTCCACAGAGCACCTAAAATCCCTCACAGACCAGATCCAGAAATGTGAAGCGAAACTCATGGATCTAGAGGATCGCTCTAGAAGGAGCAATATCAGGCTGAGAGGTATCCCAGAGACGGTCCTCCCGGCAGACCTACCCAGTTATGTGCACAGCTTCTTCAAGCTCCTGACACCAGAAATACCCACAGACATGTTGCTGCTAGACCGTCTGCATAGGGTGCCTAAACCTCAACATATTGCCACATCCTTACCTAGGGACGTGTTATTGAAAGCTCACTACTTTCATGTTAAAGATCTCCTGATGAGAAGAAGCAGAACCGTGAAAGATCTACCGGCCGAATACACAAGCATCAAAATGTTTTCAGACCTTTCAGCAGCCACCCTGAAACAACGGAAAACCTTCCAACAGGTGACAGAAACCCTACGCGCCAACCGTATCCTGTACCGCTGGGGCTTCCCTGTCCGACTGATCGTTTCAAGAAATGGAACTACCACCGCAGTACAAACAGCAGAAGAAGGCATACACCTCCTGCATCAATGGAACCTAACCATCATAGGCGACACGCAAGCCCCAAAACCACCGAGACAAGTGGTCAAGGACTGGCACATCGCCGACTGAGGCCTTACCGCAAGTATACTCGCTTTGGCGGCCACCATGTTCCTAACAGACTCACAATTAGCATTGGCTTCTGGCTATTAATACCACAAGGGTCAGCCCACTAGAGCCTGAAAGTCGCTGATACACTTAGCTACACGGCAGTTGCTGTACGCAAACAAATGTCTATTTTTTATGCCATCTTTACTTGTTCATACCGTTTGCAGGATGTACTAGCAACATAGCAATGTATATGACCTAATTGTTTATCTGTTACTGTTAATTGCCACCTCCTTGAAGCATGCGTAACCCCCTGGCCACACACTATTTGATGGTCGCTAAAGACCGATAACGTACCCCTTAAACCAGGGACACCAAACGTAATACAGCAAACAACTCACTCATGGGTCTAGGCTGCAGTCACACCCACGCAGCTGGATAAAACCTTACCGCAAATATACCCGCTTGGGTGACCCACCCAATATCATTATGCCCATAATTAATGTTGACTCCTAGCCACCATTACACTTAAAGCCAGCTCGTTAGAGATTGAAATACGCAACTTGCAATACGCAAATAACTGTCAATCTTCATGTCGTTTTATGTTTGTTCTTATTGTTTGCAGGGTGTACTAGCAACAGTGCAATGTATATGACCTTAGAGTCTATCTCTTACTGACACATGCTACCTCTCTGAACTTACGTAACCCCCTGGCCACACTCTATTTACCGGCCGACAAGGCCCAACAACCTACCCCCTAAACCAGGGACACCAATAGTAATATAGTGGACGACTCATGGGTCCAGTCTGCAGACACGCTAGGGCGGCAGGGAAGCCCCCCCAGGTATAAAACCCACTCGAGTTTCTGATCCCCACCCCCTTCCTAGAATGAAGCACCAAAAGGGTTTCTCACTATATTTACATAAGGTGCCTTTCACATACCATATGGTTCATTTAAGGACCACACAGGACCACACCTGACCTAAGGATGCTCCTTAAAAGACCATTTGGCACCACACATCGTTAGCCTGCTCAGGCCACCACCTGTCCACCATCTCCGATCCCACGCTCCCCACGGCGCTGATTAGCAGCGCCTTGCACCGAGATCGGGCCACCATGTATATACTTTGGTTAACTAAGTTTATTTCTTACTATCCCTGTTTCACTCCCCTGTTGGGATACCACCCTCCCTACCCTACCCAAACATCCAAGCAAAAACGTGCCGTACAAAGTGGAACCCTTGGGTCCTCGGTTTGTGAACGACAGCACAAAGTACACCTCACTTCTCAAGACACTGACCTGACCGATAGCGCTCTGCCTTATACCATACACTGATAGTTTATTTCCATAATGTCAGAGGGCTCAACATGCCACACAAAAGGCATATGCTACTTCAAGAAGCTCGGAAATCAAAAGCAGACATACTGTGTCTCCAAGAGACTCACTTTCCCAAAGCCAAAATCCCACAATTTGGAATGAAACATTTTCCCCATCAATTCCACGCCACGCACATGTCCAAATCCAGAGGAGTCTCCATATATATATACACAACTCAGTAGCCTTTTGAACTACTACACTCCATTTCAGACGATCAGGGCAGGTACCTGATTGTTGTCTGTTTGTTGAATGAGGTACAACATACAATAGTAAACCTCTACGCACCTAACGAAAATCAGAAAAACTTCTTGACCAGTACCCTCCTGAAAGTGGCAGCTGCACAGAGAGGCAACACTATTATATGCGGAGATATAAATCATGTATTAGACC